CCCCCCCCCTATTCAGACGAGACGCACTCCTGAGCGTCTGTTTTTTCAATGGGCGTATTTTTTAGGGAGAAAGAGAAAAGAAAAACAAACATATGAAAGAGGAACACGTACAAGTGATGAACAGGTAGAAGCTTAGAGAACGACAACAGTTAGTTGACGAGCGTTCACGCAGAGAGACAAAACAAATGTAAAACAAACGCTTCTTTTTTTTTGTTTTTTTTTTGTTTTTCTTCTTCTTCTTCCTTTTCTTGTTGCTGGTTTAAGTGCATCGATTAGATCAATTGAATTATCATGATTATTCGTTCTTCTCCGCCGTCGGCGATTTTTTCATTCATGATTGATGGCGTGTATTTTCCAATATGCATTTCGCCTTTTCTATTTTTCTTTTTCTTTTTTTCCATCGTGTAGAGCCCGTCGGGTCCGGGTCGGTTACGGTTCTAGAAAATTGCTTTTGACGGATACGGGTACGGGTACGGTTTTCGGAAATTGCTTTTGACGGGTACGGGTACGGGTACGGGTCGCACAGAAAGTTTGCAGTGTTTATAGATAAGTCGTGTTAGAAAATTTTACGAATATTTGAATCAGGCTAAGTTCTCCTTTTAATAAATAGCATTTAATTTATATATAAAAATAATATAAACGATAACAAAGTCATCTTGACTACAATATTCAAAACTTATTTACAACAAAAGTTTACAAATCCAAAAAAATATTATACGGTTCAATACTATCGTTCGTGTCATCGTTGTCGTTTAGAGATTCGTCATCATCATTGTCCTCGTTAGGTTTTGTCTTTTTTTGTAATTGGTGATGAACTGAAGCTGTTGGAGTCGTTGCCGTTGATGGTGACGATTGCTTCATCATCGGCTGTAGAGACTTTTCGTTTCATTTGTTCATTGTTTTTGTTTATTTTTACATCATTTAATTCTTTTAATGCGGCGAGATTTTTTTTGAGAAACAATAATTTGTTGAGCTTCGCTTCACCTATACTTGATCTTCGATCAGTTACAATGTTTTTCGACGCAGAAAATAACCTTTCAACGATGGTGTTTGAAGCTGGAAATTGAAAAAAGATCGCGTACGATTATAGATAATGTAGGAAATGATTGTGCATGACGTTTCCAAAATAAAAGAACGTCTTCAGTTTCGTCAATTATTTCGTCTAATGCCATATAATTATCCAATTCCGTTACTGGTGTTGGAGTTGATATAGGTTTCGGTTGTGGTTTATCGAAACAGCGAGTTAATAAGTCATTAGAATTAACTGTTGGTGTTGTACGACGTTTATTCGATATAGCAGTAGTTATTGCTTTCGAAGCAGTATCAGTAGCACCATCTGATATCCATGCACGTTCTAACAATTCTTGTTTGACCAAATCAAATGCTTTCTTTTGTTTGTTCGGTGCTATATGAAAGTGCTTTAAAGATGGATGCAATAACGTACTCATGAAATGCTGATCTTGTAGTACCCAGACCATTTTAATACGGTCGACTGAAATGAGACAGAAGAGATACTGAAATAATTGACCTCTAAATTTTAGTCTAGAAGATAAGAAAGAAAAGATCTGTTTTCAATGCTCGCTTTCTAAATAGAAAGTATCCTAATTTTAAATAAGATTGTGTATCGAATGTATTATATTGGAATTCATTTTGTAGTCGTACAATTTTGAGATTCACTTACCAAGAAAAGACTTCAGTTCCTTTAATTCGGAGCTATTTTCATGCGTAACTTGACAGTGATTAAGTAATGCTTGACGAATCGGTAGAACCTTGTAAATGGTCGGCCGTTCTTCTTCACTTAATTGATTAATAGCTTCATCAAATGTTTTCAAAAAGCCGCATATTTCTTCCAATAATTCTTTATCAACATTAGATAAATAATCCATATGAACACTGTTCAAAACACCATTTAAATCATCATACACATTGAGAAATACGTTTAACATATAGAATGCGCCATTAAAACGAGTGTCCGAATACAGTTGTAATTTCTGTTTAAGTTTTACTTGTCGATGTGATCGACGAACATGAGTTACAATTTTTTTTACGTTTTCGAATAGATCTTGAATTTTATCACATCGAACAGGTTTTTTATCAATTTCACTAGATGTGAATGAATGCTCCAATTGTTTGTTAAGATAATGTATAGAACAACCTATTCGGATACATTTTTCTTTAAATGCTGCTCGCATTTTATTTTCATTATCTGATACAACAAAAATTTTATTCTTTAAAGACAGGCCATACGACAATAATTGAGCATCAATAAACATGCGTATATTAGTAGCAGACTGTGTTTCCACATCGTATAATATACAACCAAGAATAAAATTGTGTAATTTATAATCTGTTGTTATAAAGCGCAATGCTAAACCACAATACGAAAGTCCTAGAGTAAAATAAACGGCATAGAGATTAGTTTGAATAAAAGAAAATGTCTACGTTAAAGGATTTCATCAAATTGAATATTCAAAATGATAGTTTACCTGTGTACTGCTCGGTCCAAAAATCACAAATGATACAAAAGCTTTTTAAGCTCGTACATATATTTTTTAATTGATTATTTTTAATTTCATATAAATTGTCGATATTACGACTAATCTAATAAAGAAGATATACACGTATGACAATATGGATTATTTAAATAAAAATTGTGTTTACCGTAATTGGTGATGGTATAAGTTCTTTCACGTCGATATTTGATGAAGCATTAAAGTATTTACCAGCATCGAAAACAGATTGAGCCATTTTAAAGAAACCATCACCAGAAACTAATTCAAATGCACGTGAATCTAAGGCAACGAACTCTGTACAGGCGAGTTTAACTTTCTCCTTGAACTTTTTCGATATGCCATGAGATTTAGACGAAGAATAATATTCAGTAACTTGTGTTTGATTAAATAATTGTGTTTGAATCAGCAGAATCACTTTCACAGGACCGATTGTGTTTAGCTAGAGTCGCTGTACCATCTTTTGATCGATATACAAATAACTGTTTACATTTATCACAGCAAACCATATCTTGTTTAACATTATTAATAACAACTATTTTGAAATAATTCCACATTAAAGATGATTTAGAATGTTGTTTCGGTTTGTGGAATGAAAGTGATTCATCATTTTTCTCGATCAAATCGACGATTTGTTTTTTCTTTTCTATTATATTCATTTTATTTTGTGCACATTCATTTCACAGAAAAAAAAGCATCTTGAATTGGATATAGCTTTTAACAAAAGATATTGAATACTTTATTCCATACGTTTATTCATTAACAAAGAGGCTATTGACTAGGATTAACAGCTAATAATATTTATGTAATCGCGAAATTATATAGCGCTAATCTTTTCATAATATACAGGTCGCCACTCGCCGAGATTCAAAATCAACACATCAAATTTTCGAAATGAGCACTAAATTCTGTTAGATTGCATCATCAAGATTTACATCAGTATGTTTCAGATTTAGATTCGAGTTAAAAATCTGTTGATAATCGGGTACGGGTCCGGGTACGGGTGCGGAAACTTTTCTCGATACGGTTCGGGTACGGGTACGGGTAGCGAATTTTTTATCTTCCGGGTACGGGTACGGGTTCGGTTCCAAGATTAGTTAGAATACAGAGTCCGGGTACGGTTACGGGTCCTAAAATTCTTGGACCCGACGGGCTCTATCATCGTGTCACCTACGTTTGATTCTAATCGATGTTATCTGTTGATGGTTTAATTTTCAATGTATCTTATCGGCACCCTGTGGTGACGATTTGACACTCGACGTTGTGGTGGTGCATACCACGTTGATGGATTCTTTTCTTTTATATTTTGTAGATTTAAATCATCATCTATCACTTCATTATTGTTGTTTGTTGTTGTTCTTTGTCTTTCGTTGGTTGTTTGATCGTTCTCGATAGCCGTTGTATTTCTGTTGTTTATAATGGGTTCGAAGTATGGTTTGAGACGATCCGTGTTTGTTGCACCAAGTTGTACGTTGTCATTGATTCGAAGAACTGTGAATGTGCTCGGTGTTAATTGTTTGATCAGGCGGCACGGACCTTGATAATGAGGTTGTAATTTTCCAGCTATTGAATTTTCACCAATTTGTCTTGTTGGAATAGCTACCCATACCAGATCACCTTCGGTGTATTGTCTGTCGGTAGTATGCCGATCGTATTTATCTTTTTGTTTTAATTTTTCTATTTCTGCATGTTCTTTGACAATGTTGTATGCATATCGTAAATTATTAATTAAATTTTTTTTGTATTCTTGAATTTGTACATGCTCATTTGTGGTTGGTCGTGCTTCTTCTGTTCTTTCACCGATCAATAAATCGAGTGGACCTCTCGGATCTCGTCCGAACATCATGAAAGCTGGAGTTTCACCTGTTGTTTCGTTGACGGCTGTTCGTATTGCATACGCTAATTTTTGAATTTCTTTATCCCATGAGGTGGGTTGTTGTTGAGCGTATATGGCAATTAATGGCTTTAGTGTTCTGTTCACACGTTCCGTCATGTTGCTTTGAGGATGATAATTTGCTGTTAAATTTTGTTTTATTCCTAATGCATCACAGAAATTTTTAAATAAATTTGAAATGAATTGTGGACCATTGTCCGATACAATGTGTTTTGGTAGTCCATATCTTGAAAATATTTCATTCGTGAGAATATTTGTTATGTCGCTTGATGTAATTGAATTCAATGGGAATAATTCGATCCATCGAGTAAAATAGTCCACAATAACGAGAAGAAATCGTTTCTGCCTTGCAGTGGTCGGGAATGGACCCATAATGTCCATCCCGATTGTATGCCATGGTTCATTCACTGAATGTAATTGCATTGGACTTGCTGTCGGAGCATTATTGTATTTAAATTGTTGACATAATTGGCATGCAGAAATGTAATTAAATACGTCTTTTCTCATTGACTCCCAATATACCCTTGTTATTAATCTAAATAATGTCTTTTGTTGACCACCATGTCCAGCTGTTGGGTGATCATGAGCCCATTCTAACAATTTGTTTTGCATTGTTTTTGGAATGACCAATAAATGCTTCTCACCAATGATTCGTTGATTGTAATGCATATTTGAATTTTTTATCTTGTATAATAATCCATTCACAAGAATATGTGGATTGCGTTTATCATTAGAATCTGTTGTTGGTTTTGTTTCTAAAAAATTTATTATTTGTTTTAATTTTGGATCGGCTTGTTGTTCTTCTTTTATGTCCTTCAAAATGTTTGTGTTCTGCCACAGGTTGACAGCTGTTTCTATTGTTGACACTTCGTGTTGATTGACAATATCATCAGGTAATGTATTACGTGACAATGAATCGGCGTTTGCATTTAATTTTCCTGGTCGATATTTGATTTCTTCGATTTGATCAGCTGATAATTTCATCGCCCATCGAGCTAATCGATCTGTTACATCTTTGGCCGTTCGCATCCATTCTAATGCTTTACAATCTGATCGAACATAAATTTTGTTTCCTTCCAGATATGAACGAAAATGCTTGGTTGCCATACAATAGCTAATGCTTCACGTTCTGTTGCTTCATATTTTCTTTCATCTGTTGATAATGTTCGACTGGTATATGCTATCACATTTTTTCTTCTTCGTATTCTTGTGTTAATACTGCTCCCACGCCATATTCACACGCGTCGAGTTCCAGTATAAATGATTGTTCAAAATTTGGTGTGTTCATTATTGGAGCGTTTGTTAATCGATTTTTTAATATTTCAAATGCATCAGTACATCCTTTTGACCAATTTAAATGATGATTACCTTTTTGAGAATTTCGTAGTTGTTGTTGTAGTGGTTCAGCAATTTTTGAATAATCTTTGATGAATCGACGATAGTACCCGATTAATCCAAGGAATGATTGCACATCTTTGATCTTTTTTTGGTTGAGGAAAATTTTTTACTGATTTAATTAGATCTGGATCCGGTTTAAAGCCATTTTGTGTAATAATGTGTCCCAAATATCGCATTTCTCGACGACAAAATTGACATTTTGATGCTTTCAAAGTGAGATTTGCCGATTGAAGGGCTTGAAAAACTTTTTCTAAATCTTTAATATGTTGTTCAAATGTTGGTGAAAATATTACCACATCATCGATGTATACTAGGCAGCACTGCCATTTGAGACCAGCTAATACTATATCCATTAATCGTTGGAAGGTTGCTGGGGCGTTTGTTAAACCGAATGGCATAACATTGAATTCAAAGAGACCTTTATGTGTTACAAATGCAGTTTTTTCTCTCGAATTTTTATCCATTTCTACTTGCCAGTATCCGGATCGTAAATCAAGTGTTGATACAAATTTCGCTTCTTGTAATGAATCTAGTGTATCATCTATTCTTGGAATTGGATATGCATCACGGATCGTTACTGAATTTAATTTACGATAATCGACACAAAAACATAGCGTACCGTCTTTTTTTGGTGCTAATATAACAGGTGATGCCCATGGACTTGCTGATGGTGAGATAATACCTTGATCTAACATATCTTTTAAATTTTCTTCAATAATTTGTTTTCTTGCTGGTGCATATCGAAATGGTGGTGAATTGTGTGCTTGTGCATCTGGCGCCAAGTTAATTCGATGTTGTAATTTTTTTGTTCTTTCTTCTTGCTCATTAAAGACGTCAGGAAATGTATGAATAAGTTTTTTTTATTTCTTTCTTTTGATGTTCATCTAAATCGGTGTTGATTAAATTTGGTTCATTCTCCCCTGTTAATTTCGTTTGGTTGATTGTTGATGATGTTGTTCCATGTTGCATCATATTTATTTGTGATTGATTAAGTCGAATCATATTGGCGAGCGGTTGATTTTGGTGAATTATAATCGTTCTTTTTGTTAAGTTAGCCACCTGCAGTGTTATGTATTGGCTCGGTGCGATAATACCATTCGCTACACACGGTGTTTCTTTTATTGATGTCACTTCGTATTCATCTTCTTCATTCTTCTTCTCTATTATTGAGAATGGCTTGTTTGGCTTGACTTCAATGTTGAATGCATGGAAGGGTGAAATTTTAATACGTTCATTGGCTAATAAGACATATTCATCGTCGTTGTTCACTTTTTCTTTTCTTTCCCGTTGCACCTGTGTATGTATATTCTTTGTTTTGAAATATGCGTATTGTCGATCGCCATCAATTTGAAGATTATGTTTATGAATTAGATCATTACCGATAATGCATGAACGCCATAATTTTGGCACGACATATACTCTATGCATACGTCTTGAGTTTGAGATGGTGATTGGAAGTGATAGGGCATATTTAACATAAAGTTGTGATCTATCCGCCAATTGGAGACATAAATTCGAAGGAGGTAGACGTGCTTTTTTTTGATAATATTTCGGCAGTTGAAGAAAAAAATGAAGATTAATTAATGTAAGTGATGCTCCCGAATCGATGAGTAATTGTGTTCGTCTTCCTGCTATCATACCGAATAATGTTAGTGGATTAGTGTTGTTGATGTTAACGATATGAATTTCGGCGGATATTTGGACGGGATAATTTAGTTTGGAGCGCCATGGTCCCGTCCATCGTGCACTCCATCGTCGTTTTTTGGGTAGTACCATGATTGTTGTTGTGAATAAGTATTGTATTGTTGTGGGCAGTCGTTTCTATTGTGGCCTTTTTTCCACAGGCTTGACATTTTGTGTCATATGTCGAGTATATATCTCGTCGATTTGTCGTTGCATATGACGAGTAATTTGCCCATTGCGATGGTCGATGATCGTTGCCATAATATTTATTTGTATAATTTCCTTTCGCATACGTATTCATTTGTCGGTTCTTTTGATATGCCGACACTGCTTGTGTTTCATATTGATTATCGTTGTTGTATATTGATGTTGTTGATGCGTTATTTTGTGTTCTATCTTGATTAGAATTTCTATATAATTGTTTGTTTCTTTGATAGAGAATTTCTTCAATTTTTCGTGCTTCTATAATAATTTCATCTAATGATCCACATCGAGATATTCCAATCATCGTAAATAGATTGTTTTTCATCTTGCACATTAGGTGTCGTATGAGGTCATCTTCATTTTCATTTGGCTTTTGTTCTTGCCACAGGGCACGAATTCGAACGATAAATTCGTTGATTGTTTCGTTTTCTTCTTGCTTACAATTTTTCCATTGCTGTTCTTGTCGTGCCCGTCGCATCGACGAATTAAATTGTTTAAGAAAAATTCCTATAAATTCTGTCTACGTTTGTGGTCGTCGATTTGAGGTACGTAACTGACAGTACCATTCCAGAGCAATCTCTCGAAGAAATTGAGAGATAGCATTGAGTAATGCTTGCTCATTCCAAGGATTTATTGTTTCTGAATATTCCTTGACTCGAATAAGGAATTGACGAGGATTTTCCGATATGCTTCCGTTAAATGTTGGTATCGCTGCTGGTGGTGGAATAACAATTGTATGTGTTGTTTGTGGGGTGTATCTCATTGGTGCTGTTTGTTGTGTAATGATATCAGCATGGTGTCTTCGTTCTGTTATATTGTGGTGTTCGGACTGACCATTATCAAATGATTCATTGATTGTTGATGAATTAAGTTGTGTGTGCGGCGTGGATACATTCTCTTCCATTAGTTGATTTTGATCCTTTTTTTGTGATGCTTTTCTTTCTAGCGCCTCACAATTTTTTTTCATTTCTGTTCTCATATCTCGAATATTGTCTGTTAATCGGTCCCATTGTTGTTGTTTTTCTTCTAATTTAGACGTTGTTGTGTCTTGCAATTCTTTTGCTCTTTTTTGAATGGTTTCGATCTGATTTATCATTTTTTCTTGTACATTCATTATTATTTCGTTTGGTACGTTCATATTCATATTCTTGTTTTGTTCCATTACATTGAGGTGAATTTCATCTAGTTTTGTTTCGAGCGCATTCAGACGCGCATTGCTATTGTTATTTGCTTCCGATAATTTTTGAACCGCTTGTTCGATTGTTACTTTTTCAGATGCCATTATTTCACTTAGCTTATTTATTTATTTTCGATTAGAAGATTGAGGTTTAGTTTGAGAGGGTCGCCATGTAACGATGTAAGCACGTTTTATCGTGATATCGAACTGTTTTATTTCAATCATCCTTCTCCTTTTATAGATATACTTTCTTTCTCCGGGGCGCGTCACTCAACCCGAGAGAACGAGAAGGAACACGACAAAGAGGAAGATAGAACACACATGACCAAGAGGAAGAGAGAATACACATGACAAATAAGAAGAGAGAATACACATGACAAATAAGAAGAGAGAATACACATGACAATGTGGAGAAAGTCGTTATGTACATTGATTAGGATAGACCGAGTGCTTATATCGGCGCAACGCACTGTAAAAAATGTGATGCGTCTTACAAGACGGTGCATCCGTCTAAAGTCTAGTTTAGACTTGAGAAGCGTCTTATTTTTAGACGCTTCAATAAAATAGATATTGATGCGTCTTATTTGTTTTAGACGTTTAGATCTGATATATGTTGATACGTCTCGGACTTTTTTCTAATTCAAGTATGACTAGTCAGTTACACGCCACTCTAATCCACTGTCCCCCGACGACTCCCCCGGGAGGGGTGCCGCAAAATAACGAAATTCCTGTTGTGAGCCCCTGGGAATTTGTCAGAGGACTCCCTGGGGATTCTTCTAGAGAGAGTTGACTAGGGAAGCAATGTACTATTCAAACTTAAAGTGTTTACATGGACTATTCAAGATATTTATTGTCTTGTAGAAAATCGCAAGTATTCTTTTTTTTAATTTATTTTGAAAAAACAATTCAGTTCTAAATATAAATAAATACACATATATACGTATATATTACTTATTCTTTTAGATTTTTCTCACATTTCGCCTTATCTCTTCGATATGAATAGAATAATACGTATTAAGAAAATATTTCAGATAAAATAGTTTTCAATTTTTCTCATCAATTTTTGCTTTTGCATATTTTACTCGTTCTTTTTTTATAATTGATGAAATTCATCTTAATTATTTGTATTATCATGTTTCTTCTGGTATCTGTTTTGTACATATTTATTCTTGAAAATAATGTAGTTCCTATATGAAATATGATATATCAAATTCATACTGTGATGTTATATTTTTTTAAATAAATTTTCTTTTTTTTATAGATGAAAGTATTATCATCTTTATTTGGATGGCTGGAAATTTATTATTAAATGCTAACTTTTACGCAGGAATATTTTAAATTAATAAAGTAGTGATTGAAATTTAACTGAACAAGCATTTTTGCTAGGCAGATGTTAAGCACTCCTGCTACTCTTACATCTATCTTCCTTAGACATTTCAGTTAATCTGAGACCTCTTGGTTCTAGTAATAAATACATTAAGCGTTAAAAGGAGACTCTCCTGGTGTAAATTTATAAAAAATTGATCTAGATGTTATACCTGTCGGAGGGATATATTTTTAAGTGCAATTAATTACAATTACATTTAAAAATATGTCGCTCCGACAGGTATAATATCTAGATCAATTTCTATAAATTTTCATCGCGAAGGTCTCCTTTTAATGATTAATTTATTTATTACTAGAACCTATAAGCCTTAGATCAACTGCAGCGTCTAAGGAAGATAGATGTAAGACGCTTCTCTTATTGGTGCAGATCATCGAACTAGAAACGCTTGATTGTCTCAAATCGGTCATCCGTTGACACTTAAAGCGTCTAAACGAAAGATATTATAACCAATCACAATTAGTGCCAATTGTCTTGAAAAAACGCATGAGCCGTCTTGCTTATCCACTTCATGTGTCTTGATTTTTTAGAGTGCGACCACCTTATCGCAGCGAATTTTTATTGCGACGATGTGCGTGGTCACCAATCCGTCCTTGTTTAGTTCACATGTACTTGAATTGTTACATAGGCATGATCTTCTTTTGTAGAACTTACATATATTTTCGAAGAAAATAGTGAGTGTAAGTTGAATTGTTAGGTTTTTGCGGCTCCCCTGTACCCCATCCCCCCCCCCGNCCACTGGGAAGCCTTTATCAAATTTTCGTTTATGAAAAAATGTATCAATTTCTCACCTGGTATTACGAAAAAATATAAATTTCTCAACAATATTGATAGCTATATCATAAATACTGTTTAAACTATTATCATTCACAATACTTCTCAATGAAACCACTAAACACTTCAGTATACTGACATATTTTAAACAAAAAGTTTTTTATACGTTCTCTCTAGTAATATTCCCTATTGATAGATCCAATAAACTTCAAATGTTAAAAAGGTTTTATTATCTTATTTTTGAACAAAATATGATCCCACTACGCTGAAAAAAAATAAAACTTCTATTTGATCAGTATCTAACTGACCGAAATATGTGAGTTCCACATTTTAGCCCCAACGGGGCTGCGCTGACAAACTTTTCTCAATTACATTCATGAACTCTTATGCCTAATTGCAACAGAGTAGGTATCTCGTATCTCAATCTGGCTAACAACCACTTCATACTGATTGAAAATTGTTTGTTCACGAAGAAAAATCTGTTCAGGAGTTGATGACATTTTTAGAGCTGCAGCAAATTCACTAGTATCACTGTATCGATGTACACAGCTACTATTAGAATAATGATTTCAGACAAGACAGTTGTCAGATTGGATTTCTGGTGCGTGTTATTTACTAAGGCATTATTGTAGCATGGAAAAACAAGATATTTGAATTGCGTGTGAACAGATAGAAAGAGAGGATAGATTCTTTCGATAAATGTTTACAGATAAGAGGCAGACAATTTTGTCGAGAAATATAAATCAACTAACCTACCAAAATCAATATCAAGCATTGTAGCATTAGCACCTTCAACAAGAATTTTTTTCGAACCATTAACAATAGCATCATTCAAATAGGAGATGGTATCGATTGTCATCTGGCGGAAATATTCAGCAAATTCTTTAAATTGTTCGATTGTTTTTTCGATATCGCCTTCCAAATCAGGAAATGTCAATTTATAATAGCTATAAAGACTTCGCAGCCTATTAAAATATACACTATATCGAATATTGTCTCAATATAAATGATTTACTTTTCAGCAAAAATTGAAAAATCACCCACGAGATCAATCATACGAATGCCGTTTCGTGTGGCCTGAAATCAAAATTAATTTCAAAGTATTATAAATACTCAAGACCCAGTTTTACTTTAGATGAATATGTTGGTCCGATACCTTTTTTAGTTGTACCAAGACTAACGAATCATTGTTTTTATTATAGAAATAAAAACACTTCGATCAACCAGCACTTACCTACTCTTACCACGTCCTAGCTCAATTAATCCATCGGTTTGTTTATGAAAATCGAAAACTGCAACAAGAAAAAAAACATTTCAACATTCTGTTAAGATTCTTTTCTACAAAATTGAATTACCTAAATGTGCTCGATCAGAAATCAATAGACGTTTAGACCAATCTTTTACACCACGAGATTCATTTTTTTGTATTTCTTCTACTAATTCTGGTAGATTTACTACACAACCATTTCCTACAAAAGAAATATTCATTTTTTTCGTTATTTAGTGTAAAATATTTACCAATGATGTTAACACAATTATCTAGGTGAAAACCGGATGGTAACATATGAAAATCATATTCAATGCCATTGGTTAAAACAGTATGGCCAGCATTGTTACCTCCCTATTGAAATTTTAAAGAAGAATTGTTTAAGAAATCGAAGAATATTTTATTTACTTGGCATCGACAAACTATATCAGCTTCCGATGCTAATAAATCAACAAGTTTGCCTTTGCCCTAGCGCGAAAAAACAGTATTATTCGTAGAGAAAAAAAGTTTCAGTAGCTTACTTCATCACCCCATTGTGCACCAAGGACGATTGAAACCATCGATGGATTTGGAAAGGGATGGACAGTTGCACTATCACGCCGCTGAGCTGTTGGAGGACGTGATATCATCCCGTTTATCTCAATCTATAAAATTTGAAACAGATCGTTTGCTTTTTATTTTCTTTCTGAAGGATTAGTTTGTTTATCTATGACATAACGTTAAAGTTTTCAAAAAAAAAGAAGAGCTATTTGAAGAAATATGAGAGATTGTAAATTGCATACTCTCATAGACATGCAAGTAACACTTTACTATAATAAAATGCACAAGAATGTCTATAATAATAATAATGAAAGAAATATAAACGATCCACAAAAAGAATCGACAAGTGTTTGTTTGGTTTCGGTTAGTTTTATAATATAAATCAACGGCGGCTACCAAAACTTCGACCATTTCCAATGACACCTCGTCCACGCATTGATGAATTATTGTTATGGTTATTATTACTGCTAAATGAAAATGTTGAGCCAGGTTGTTTATTCTTTGGTTGGAATTGATTTGTAGGTTGGCCGCGACCACCACGAACATTACCTCCACCTCTTGATGATCCTCGCCATGGTGCTTGAGATGATTGTTGCATTTGATTTTGATGTCCAAAATTACCATAACGTGGTTCCTCATTGACGAACGGTGGTCGTCCATATGTATTCGATGAATTATTATGTGTTAGTGACGAATGGGTAAAGTCATTGAATGCATGCGATTGTGAAACTACTGGATTTTGGGCATTTGCTAATGATGATGGATACATTGATGGAGAAACATTAGTAATCGATGGACCAGTTGATGCTCGATAATCAGCATAGGAACGTACAGGTGGATTACTGTTACCCATTTGAGTTTGTTGTTGAGCACCACTGTTTGGAAAATAAGTCGGTTTTGTATTGTTACTATTATTAACTCCGAATCCACTTGATGAATTCGAATTTGGATAAGGTGGTTGACTCATGATTGGTGCTGGTGGTTGGTGATGTTGCGAACGTTGAATAGTATTGGCAACTTGATGAATAAATTCATCGGTTGGACCTTGATTAGATCGTTGATAAGGACGGTTCGATGAGCTAGCAAATCCAGGTGCACTATTCGGTTCTGGATGATATTCAGCAACAGCCTATAGTAAACACAAACATACAGATGTTATGAAATTATACAAAAAGAATAATAGATGAACAAACCTTCGCAACAGCACGAATAAAACCCGGATCATAATTCGATGGTCGACTATCATATCTTCCACCACCACCACCACCATTAAATCGTTGTTGCTGTTCATGATCGTAATTGTTTCCTCTGGACATAAGTTGTGATGGTCTACTATCAGGATAATATCCAGTATTATCTGATGCAAGTGATTGTAATTCAAAATTTGATCTTTCAAAAAACTTTTCTCGTTGTTGATCGACTGGATGACGACCAGACCAACGATTATTTCCATTATTGTATGGTGCTGGTTGAGCGTAATTATATTGTTCCATTTCATAATTTCTCATCGGTACTTGATCACGATTTGCGCCTGGAAATGAATTATTAAGATCTCCACGAAATCGTTTATTCGGTGGGCCAGCAGCTGGAAACGATCTTTTAATAGGAGTACCTAAAAAGGAAGCAAATCGTATATAAATCTCATATTTTACTTATCTCTCTTGACGGTACTCAATTAGGGAAGGATCAGATTTCCTTCTCAAAATGAAGATATCTGGCTGGTATCAAATTTCGAGCCTTTCCGACCCTTAAAAAATCGAGAATCTACAGGTGCTCAAGAAAGATACCTCTGGATGATTTATTTACATAAAATGAAATCGATAGATCTAAGATGTCACATGATTATGTTGATTTTGAATAAAAGCATACCTCGTTGAGACAATGGCGTTGAAATTTGTCCTCTTCGTGTATTGTTAAATCCACCGCGTTTCTTCTGTTGGATTCTTGTCGCAGCATTACTTTTGTTATTAGTATTATTAATTCGTAAATTTTGTGTTACAGATTTCGTAGTTAATGATTTTGGTTTTCGTGCTTGTTTAATATTGACAATACGAGTAGCACCTTCGAATCCATCGTATGGATAACATCGGATGAATGTAGTTGTGTCCTCGTCAAGTTGTTCGCGTGTTACACAACGCCATTGATAACGATTTTTAATATCATCGGGAATTTCTGACAATTGTGTTACACCATTGAATTTAAATATCGCAGGTATAATAACAACATTAGCAAAACGCTGAAAAAGAAATAGATCAGAAATAAATGCGAGTAAAGAATAATAGAGTTCATACAATAACAAGATCTTTGTGATCGGATGATGTTTGCTTTTCTTTATGCTCAGCGGTATGTAAATGCTAAAATAAATATAATTTTTTGTGATGCTGTTTAGGAGCGAAAAACTACCTTTTCTAGAGCCCATTGATCTGTCAAAACAACTTCACAATAAGCACAACAAAAACGTCCACGGTTCGAAAGACAAGTTGGCAAAATGTAAAGTGCCATGGTTCTTTTATAGTTCTCATAAGCATCATTACCCATTATTTCCTTCATTGATTTACCATTAATTAAAGTCTAAAAAGAGTCCACATTTCAAAGAAACCTAATATTTTAAAAAAGCAAACCATTTGCAAAGCTTGACGCCATGGCAAAAATGTTGTTTGATAATGACGAAAATTTTCTAAATGATCTAGTCCATTGAGATGCTAGAAAAGAACAGCATGGATAATAGAAGGGAGAAAAAAAAAACGTTTTAATCAGTTAATGAAAGTTTCCATTGAAAGTAGCGCATTAAAATCTGTGAAGAAAATGCTTATTGCGCCTTATGAATAGAATTAGAAAAAGAAAGGTAGGATACCTTTGATTCGAGTCCGAAATGTTCAAGAAAATAATTTTCTCGAACGTCTTACATGCAAGTCGAAAGGTTACTATTCAGAGATCTTCATCTGTAAGAGATCATCAAATAATATTCTAGAGTTTCTACGAAGGATTCTATTCGCAACGTAATATTTTCGTTGCTTTAAATATTTACTTGTGTACAATATTTTTCTGATGTTAAAAAAATTGAGCAAATATCACAGAAGAATGTATTTTTTTTCTTAAAGCTTCGTCTTGCAATACCAGATAGAAATTGTTGTTCACGTTTTAATTCACCACATTTAGAATAAATATCGAGATTAATAGTATTTAAAACATCCTAGAATAATAAGAGAATTTCTTATTTTAATAAGAAAAAAAGTTCATTTTTTTCTAATAGAAATACTCCATATTCTTTGAATAGATGTCAAGTATTTTTTTCGAATGATTGTCGTATCTTTTTAGTCGAAGATGAATTGAAAACGAAAATGAAATTTCGCATAATTACCTTGCAAACGTTTATAATGTCATCGACAAGCGACGGTGGTTCATCGACATCGATTTTTTCTGTATTCGATATCTCATATGTGGTCATAGCAGTATTCTGTTCCACACCGTTGTCTTCAATGCTATTATTAGCAGAAGACATATCACCGTTTTCAAACGGTTCTTGCTGCTGCTGTTTCTTTAGCAAGACCTGTGACTGATCTTTGGCCATAGTGAAAATAACAGAGCTCTTTTGAGCATTGTGATGAATGTTATCGGGTGCAATTTTTTCTATAAAATTAAATATATACATACGGAATATATATTGTAACAGTTGTGAACAAAACAAATATAAAAGCATAACAAGTAAATATCAAACTCATCATATGATACTCTGTACATTTTAAACAATGAAATGATTCATTGTTTCTTCTTTTTTTTAAATTTATACCAAGACAATATGTCTTGAATAGAAATTAACTATGATACTTATTTGTATATGATAAAGAAAATATTCTTTATACAGACGCTTACTCTTAATATAATATATCTCCATTGGCAATGCGGCTATATCATTAGCACGATCGGCAATCATTTCTTTAAGAAGTTGTTCACGAATTTGATTTGTTGTTGTACCAATTTGTGAATAAGTTTTATCTTGAAAGACAAGTGTTACTCGTAGATTTCGGCGTTTACGCGGATTGGCCACAATTGATTTTTGTTGATTATTATTAATTTCAAATTTTTCCGGTTTTGTCTTAACGGTTTCAGTTGATTGGCTGTGTTGTGATGATGAAACAGGTTCTTCATTTGTATGTTTGTAACGAAAATAAAATTTATCACTTTGATAATAAAACTAAAAACAAACAAAAAAGAGATCAAACAGGTCAGAATCAATCTACGATTACTGTTTAAGGCACAACCAATCACTTCTTATTTTCCTATACCGATCTATAAGTTATCTTGATCTATCAATAGACTAATTTTTTTTAACTACTACGCTTCTAATAGAATGCATATCTGCCTATCTTTGTTTGTCGCCCAAGGTCAAGTAAACTGCTATGCAAAATATATGTGTAGACTCGTTTTTGTTTCTACTAGCACAGGGAAGGACAAACAACATTAAGGTTTTCTTTCTCATTATTCTCAATAATAATAACAATTTATGGCTCCATATGTTTTTCTATAAGGGAAACTTTTGAATCGGGAGCCCAGAATTTCGGCCCAAGGAATTTTCGGGCCGGACTTTCGGCCCAGTAGGAAATGAAGATGAGGATGACCCAGTTTCATGATAAAAAAAATTCATTTGAGGCCGAAAGTCCGGCCCGAAAATTCCGTGGACCGAAATTCATGTAACCCTTTGAATCTACTGTACATTTTGAGAATAAACAAAATAAACTGATTCTGTTTGAAAATCAACATATCTCGATGTTTGCTTACATTATTATGAAAAGCTAAATGAATAGCTTGATCATAAACCGATGGCACAAAACGATTTTCATCGCACGATTTTTTAACATTTTCACGATGGTTGTTTTCTAAGACATGCTTATAATATAATGACAAAGTTCCACGCATCACATTACACGCTGAACACACTGGTTGTTGACGAATACGAACCACACCGACATGACCATCCTGAAGAAGAAAAAAAACATAACTAATCAGTCTAACCGACTTAAACATAATCTACATACATCAGAATCCTTATAACAAACAACGGAACAATTATCATCATCATTTTGTGATCTACAAATTTAATTTAAAAAAAAGTGAATTTAATTTTCTATTTCAATATCTCACTTATTATTATTATTATTATTGGTAGTAGTAGTAGGAGCAGTATTTATTTGTCGAGCATTGGCAAACTTTCCTCGGTTTTTCATTGTTAAATAGTTTATCTAAAACAAAAAACAACCCTGTGTAAATAGAGCAAACCATCATGTATTGAATTGAGATTCAGGTAAAATAAGTAATGGATGATTAGTAATGTAGAACGAGCAAACAAACTTTTACTCTGAAAGCTTTTTTTTCTTGTTGTTCATTTAATAACAACACTGTTTTAAACGAGTCTGTACAATAAATATTGGAGGCTATAGCTGTCATCCTATTGGATAGATTGTAATCGAGTAGGAATCGACATATTCATCGATATCAAGAATTTATCAGATATTGCAGCTTATTAATCGAAAGAAAAATTAGCTATGCTTTCATCTCGTTTGAATAATCAATTGAAACCATCATTGATTTTAGTAATTGGTGAGTTATTAGGAATTCGATAATTTTTCCCATGCTTTACGCACGTTTTCTTTTTTGCTTAGATGAAAATCAATCGAGTTCCTCCGTAGGATTTCAATTTGCTTGTGCTTATGCCTGTGAAACTTTCGAAAAGTAAGAGTTTTTCTTTGCTTTAACATAAGAAAAAATAAATATTTTAACTTCAGATTTTCAAAAGTCGACATTCTTCTAACAGAACATAATGAATCCGATTGGTTCCATTCGCGTGTATTTGCAAAACGAAAGGATTTGATATCAAAGTAAATTAAAAACTTTAGAATTCGTAGGTAAATTTCTCTCTTTTTGTTTACAGAATAAATGTAATCGATATGTTTGATGATATTCATTCAACGAAAAAAATAGAAGAATGCTTACGAACATCAACTGAAAAAGGGCTCATCATTATTGAATCTCTTCCTTGGTTATTATTACGAACATCTGAAGGCAATTTATCACGTTTATTACATAATTGGAGTAGTAAGATATTGAAAATTATTTTCAAAATAAAAGAAATAAAATTTATTTTTACTCCAGAATCGAATGTAGTCATAGCTGTACTTCCCTATGACTGTGTCGAAGAAAGCTCACTATTTAAAAACCTGATATCAATTTCTTATATAACGGTTCGAATTAAGAATCTTTTGACATCAGAAGGAATCGAAGCAAAAATCGAACAACGATCACGTACAAATGTCGATACGATAAAATCTGTTCGTTGTTTCGCTTTGAAAGTCTTCTGTTTCGAAGTTTGACTTTTTTTTTCATTTAGTGTTTAACATTTTCAATTGATTCTCAACTAAATCTAATTAATTTACGTGAAGAAAAATTAAGTAATCGAAAATTAAAATCTGCTTCTAATACTGATGGACCTTCTAAAGTAATACAATAAAATAATCTCCATCAAGATTAAAGTGTCAACTAAATTTTAGAAGGATGTCACTGCAAATCTGACATTCAATCTTCGCCTTAAAGACGATGAAGTTGTTGCGAAAAATAATCTTATTTTGCCATATACAAAACAACAGTAAGATTTTATTTTAATTAAAATCGAACAAATCTTATTTATTTTCTTTCTGTTTTTTTAGTACACAAACACCGGCTGATAGTTGTACTATACATTATTCTTATGATAAAGAGGATGATATTGATGAAGATGAAGACGAAGATTTGGACCTGTGATAAATGGATTTTTGATTCTGTTTCTTTTTAAATATTTCAGATAAAATAAATTAATATGACCGAACAAACAGTAACGCCAAGTAGCATTCGATCGGATTTGGTATGAATAAGAAATATAATAAAATTCTTTTGTATCCACGAGAAAAAGATTGTCGATAACAAATAATCTGTGTTGAGTGATTCTAATATCAAATTTTAACGGCTGTCAGGATATGATAGATTAAAGACAGAATACAATGAGCAGCGTAGTTTGGTTTAAAACTGTTCGTTGACCATACGCGAGGAGAAATCATTGGTTGTGTATTTTGCTAACAACGAGTTTCATAGAATATTCTCCTGTCGATTGTACAAGTTTTCGATTTCTAGGTTGATATAGCCATTGGATTTTTGAAAAATCCAAGAGTTGAGGGTGAATCAATGGTTAAAAAACGTGAATTTCTACAAAAGAAGGGTAAAAATTGATTAGAAGAAATGCTTCGAATCGTTATTCTTAAACCTGTTTTACTTCTTCTAGGACTTACGGATAATGAAATCGATTATGCATTTAAACTTATGCCACAGAAAGGTTCGATACGATGTTCGAATGAGTTAACCTACAATATTTTCTATTTTAAGTCGAAACAACAAAAGAAATTGTTCCTAACCATCAACCCTCGTTTCTTCGTCGCATATTGTACGATTTAATCGTAGCTGGATTTTTAGGAGTTGCATTAAAATTTCTTAGACGTCTGTTTCAATCGGTATGAGAAAATCTTCAAAAAATTTCTTTTACTTATCCAAATTTATTTCTACAATAGCAAAAATCGATAAAAGTCAATGAATTACATGAAATAATAAAAAATCTTCAAAAAACAGTTCAAGATATGCAAACAAGTATTACTAAACTTGAGCAAGCAGTCAATCAATCGAATTCAACGATCAATAGAGCAGCATCCTTCGATGAAATCAAACGAGAAATTCAAACGTTGAAAGCTCTCTGTTTAGGTCGCTCTCAATTTCCACCAATTCCACAAATAACTCCTCCGTCAATTCCATCTTGGCAATTAGAAGCAGCACAAGTATATTCAATGAGTCAATCTTAACTTTTCTTCTTATTATTTTTTTCTATCATAGAAAGCAAAAGCTCGTATATCACCGGTCGCTGACGTAACAATTCCTAAAAAAACCAATGATGACAATAAAGAAGATGGCGATAGTATTATTGTAGTATCTGAAAATGAGAAAAAAAGTGACGATGAAAATAATTTTTCAATAAGTCCATCATCAGAATCGTCCAATGACGCTTAATGATATTTTGCCTTTCTTTAAATTTTTATTCTGTGATTGTTTGTCATATTTCAATCTTTACAAAACTTGGAATTATTGATAATTTTAGATAAAAAATGCCTATTGAACGGGGCCTTCAATATTTAAGGCAAATGCAACGAGTTACTTTAAAAAATTTACCCATGCCTTTGGAAAAAACAGATAAATGGAAACGAGAACATGTAAATATAATTAAAGTTATTTATTCCATTTGAAAGATTCCTTTTACGTTCTTTCTTTTTAGCCTGATGAAAATACAATGAAAACCATTATGAGTAAAAAAGGTCCAATATCAAGAAGTGGATTACCACCATATGGTATAGATCCAATTCAAGCGGAAGGACGTCTACCGTGGATATTAACTGTACCAAAAGAACCCTATTATGAAGGTGTAGAGTAGGTATTTTGATGAATATGACTTTCCGAGATTATTCTGCGTACTTTTAGAGAAGCACGACAATATTTACCAATATCGTTACGTACTCTTCAACGTTTAATTGATCTACGTCGAATTAATCCAGCAAGACCTATTGATTTGCCTGTACTTTGTAATACAAAATTGTTTTCTATTCAACCTGATCAACGACAATTTGGTTTACAATTAACTGATGAAGTAAATATATTTTAGTTGATTCTATTTCTAAAAGAATTCTCACATGAATGAGTACGCTACTATTTGCATGATTTAATAGATAATAATCTAAAAAAAGACATTTAATATAGAAAGTGCATTCATTGTATGCCATCTAGAAAGAAAAAACGACTGGTTGAGACACATACACACACACACACACACATATATATATATACAATCAAATCCTTAGGATCTCAAAAGTCATGATAAAATGAAAAATTCAGCTAGAAATAATTAAAATCTTATCTGAAACTATATTTTCTATGATAATAAATCCCTACATTAAACGAATAAATCCCCTCTGGAAATTTAATCAACTATAGCTTCTAATCTTCGATGATAAATCTCGATAAAAAAATCAGTCTCACTGTATTGTATTATTGGACTATGAATAACTCAGTAAATTCGTTGATACTTACGAGGACACGATTCCAATTATTGATTCGCTTGAAGTTATTACCATTCAATCGGCCATTATAAGTATACAAAAAAAAGCATCTCTTGATTTAGTTTTCCGGTCTTTTCTCATTGAGTTACACGCGCGTTCTACTTGGCTTTTTCCCATTGAGACCATCAATGATTAAGTTTAAGTCAAAAATAGACGCTCTGAAAATTTGTATTACAATCCGATGTATTCGTATAACAACAAAAGTCTAAAACAGACGCCTTCTCCCTTGAATCTCTAAGCATAGGTTTTCTCGTAGACGTAGAGCTCAAAGGACACAAATCGAATAGAACTCAATAATCGAACTACGGAAAATTAAACCAAAAGAGACTTCTTTTTCTTCTTCTATTAATCATTATGATTGATTGAATAGCAATATTCAAAAATGCTTCAGCATATGAGAATTTTCTACTGAATATAATTAGTTAATTCAAAGTTTTCTCATCATCATAAAAGACGCAAATTTCATTAATTAAGGGTGCTGATCTATTTTCAACTCCAATTAACCTTGAAATTCAATGGGTATCAAGTGAAGTAGCAACGGCTGCTATTGAACGGTGTGGTGGCATTTTAACAACACGATATTTTGATCCTGTCTCTTTATCGGCATTAATTGATGCAAAGAAATTTTTCGAACGTGGTGAACCAATACCACGTTGTGATACACCACCATTGAATGCAATCGAATATTATACAGATCCGAAACAACGTGGTTATTTAGCAAATCCTGATTTAATACGTGAAGAACGTCAACGTTTAGCACAAAAATATGGTTATAAATTGCCAGATGCTTCGAAATTCTCTCCAATGTTTCATCTTCGAAAAGATCCAAGACAAATTTTTTTTGGTCTTGCGCCTGGTTGGTTAGTTAATCTCAAAGATCAAACCATCCTTAAACCAAAAGATAACAAATTTGAAACATTCTATCATTCTTGAAATAAAAAAAAAAAATTTATATATCTGGCAATTTTCTAATAAACAACTAATTGTAGAGCAAAATAAAAATCAGCCAATGATAATGAGAGAGAGAGAGAGAGAGAGACAGAAAGAGAAAGCTGTACAACATAAAGAATATTTTTCTAAAAACAAACACATAATCTGACTGATGTCATTGTTCAATGTTGAATTGTTGGTTAATAGGCATCAAACATTTTACACTTCAAATTCATCAGTCCATTCCACACTATTTCCAAGGAGTTTATTAACTTTATTCCATTCACGTTCTCGTTCATATTGTGGATCAAGATTAAAGCGTACTTTAGGTCTAAGAATATTCATTGGTGATGTTTGTTGTTCATCAATAATATCAAGAGGCTTATTTTGTGCAATTTTCATAATCGAAGGTGGTAATGGTCGATTGGCAGATTGCGTTTGTGTTGTAACTAATGCTGATAAAAGATCATTTTCATGCATCATAAATACATCACGATCATTCGTATGCCATAGATTATCATCATTATTATTGTTGTTGTTGTTGTTGAGTTCGTTGTTTTGGGACAATTCGAATTCATGTACAAGATCAATTTCACCATTATCAGCACTTTCATCAGATACATTATCATTGGTTGAACTTTGTGTATCATCTTCTTCATAGATAGTTTGTGGATGTGGTTGAGTAGATAAGATAATATCATTTGTTGTTGATGTACGCAAAGGTGGAGACCGTATCGGAATTTGTATCACATCGCTATTAGCCGAAGCGAATTTTTCTAACAATGATTCATCATTTTGTTTTCCTAGAGCTAAAAGAAAATGCAGAAAGGAAAATCGTTTGCTTTTGTTTAATTATGATTTTTAATACATACAAAGTTTTCTTATTGGTATTGATATAAGATCATCATTAGGATTGATTTGTTCCGTTGAATGAATGGATGGATTAAATAATGATTGATGAATAACAATTGGCCTTTGTAATTCTTTTAATTTATATTCATGTATAGAAAATTTTTGTTGATTTAATAATGTACTATCATCATCTTCATCACAGGATGTTTCCGATAAAGGTTGATCCAACGATGATGATAACGTATTAAGATGTGGTAACTCGAAATGTTTTACTTCAACATCAGGTGATGAACCAACATTTGGAAAACATTCTTTTTTATGATGATGATTATTATTATTGAATCTATGATGACTTTGTTGCTGAGTCATATCCCAAAAATGATCATCGACGGGTGATGACATCGGAAGAAAATCATCATCCACAAGTACACCGGATGGTTTACTATCGTCATCGAATTCAATACTATTAGAGCTACGTGCTGATGTTATTGTAGCAGTCGATGATGATGATGTTTCATAAATAGTTCCTGTATTATTTGTAACAATAGGTCGAAGAAGTTCATGTCTACTATTATTATGATGAATCGATTGAAAATCCATGGAACGTGAATGTCCATTTGTTATAATTGTTGTTGGTCGCTGAATAGAAATCTCGGATTGATAAGCATGTTTTGTAGGTTGTGGTGGAATTCGAATAGGTGTTGAATTACGCATTATTTGACGATAGTCACACTTTAGTAAAAAAAAATAGATGTAGAAATAAAATATTACTTTTGTATGTTTAATTGAATTCTATAATTTCGCTAATATTAGCAATCTCATTATTTTGTCGCTCTCTCTCTCTCTCTGTGTCTTTGTCTATAGTAAGTTAGAAGGAATCGAATCTAGTGTAAGAACGGAACTTATTTTAATAATACATGAATAAACCTCGGATATTACATTTTTTGATGATATAGAAAACATTCAATAGTAATTTTTACAAAGCTATTTATATAATAGACAAAAACAAAAAAATTGAATGATAGACTTACTACTGTTTCCAAGTCAGATGATAGATTTTTCACCGGTTTAAATACTGTTGGTTGTTGACTATTTTGTATGGGTATATTATTATCATTGGTACTATTAAGTATATTCAGATCTGAATAGGTACCATTTTTAATTATATCAGAATCAAGACGATCAATATATGAATTAATTTCATCATTATTATCGTACCTTGAACGAATATAATCATCGAATTGTTCAATGGCACTCGTGATTAAATGATTACATGGTTGGTGACTATTCAAACGATCAGCACTTTCTACAGGCGACGTTACTGTGGTAGTGCTCGAAGCACTATCATCAATGAAGCGGATACGTTCAATTCTTTGCATGAAATCTTTTCGATAAGTCGCTATTACAGGTGTTACACTAGAAGATTTTTTCTTTAGTGGATTTCTTGAAAAAAAATTTGCAGATTTTAATAATGACGTGCGATCACTACTATCCGAATCAATTGCATTTGGGTGATTATTGTTGCTAGTATTATCAGTTGGAAGAGAAGATTTTTTTGTTGATATCGTTTTAATTTCGCATGCAGAATCAATTATTGGCTCAAATTTTTGTGCTTGTTTTGCAATTGAACTACGACGAAGTGCCGATGAAAATGAAATTCGGCGACGAGGTTCTAAATCGACACAATTACGACCTTTGTCATCGTCACCGGCATTTTGACTGCCGACGGCAGTTTTAGTTGTCGATGAGGGGAAAAGCGGATGTGAGTTTAGAGAACGTGAGAGGGGTAAAATAGCATTGAGCGAATATTTACGACTATTACGGTCCGATGAATCCTCAATAGTAGAGGCAAGTTCCGATGTTAGCAGTGGCGTTTGATCATCACACTAGAAAAGAAAAGAAAAAGATAAAAAAAAAGAAGAAAAAAGACGATGATAGTCTCTTTTTCCTATTTCTATTACTGCTTTCTATCTATTTCGAATCTTCAATTATACAAGTACCTACCGTATCATTTTCGATTGATCTAGTTATTTCATTTCCAGGGACCGGTGACAATAATGATGATGATGCAAGTAATTTAGAGTCTAAAACTATTTGTGTCGGTATTACTTCCGCGTCCACTGATATCTCATCATTATTCTCTTCTATCTTTTTATTCTGAAGGGAAATCTCAAAATCCTGATGTTGCTCTTGAAAATGATTGGTATCGTTTTCTTGTAAATATTCACTACTGTGCACCACCGGCGTTGTTGATATTGAATGATGTGTCCTTGGAGCCACTTCGAATCGATGTGATGATGATACGATAATGTTGTTTTCAGATGAAATATTAGTACCAGCAGCAGCAGTAGTAGTAGGAGAATTAATTATTTGTTGCTGATTACTTATGGATGTTTTCGTTCTATTAGATTGCTGACGATTATGATGATTATTTCGTGTTGTAATACATGGTAAACAAAGTTTTCGAAGAGTTGGCGACGACACTTTGATATACCTATTCGATGTTCTATGTCGTCGTTGTCGTTGATCATGCACGTGACAAACAAGTGAATAACGAACTGTATTTGGACGACACAGTATATGTGGTGGTACCGTGCAGAGGATCAAACGACGCGATTGGCAATGAATAGAAAGAATTGTTAGAGAGAACGAGGACACAATAATAATAATAATAATAATAATAATAATAATAGTGACAGGTAGTTTATCTTAAAAAGGATGACATCAATGGCGATGTGCATATAATCCAAACATGTCAATTGACTCGACAACGTTCAACTGCTCTCTGTTCAGCTCGTCGAACGGCATTCTTTTTTGTGTTCGCATTCTTTTTCATTAACATGACAGCAAGAATCTTTTCTCGTCCTTTACGCTCTCATGGTATTCTGTTCTATTTATGATATTTGTTTCTGTTGGTTGGCAGAGTGAGCGAGCATAGAAACAGCAACATTAACTACGAGCGAACGAGAGCGAAATAGAGAGAGAGAGAGAGAGAGAGTGAGTGAGTGAGAAGGAAAGAGCTCAAACAAGAGAATAGCATGTTCCCTCCCTTCTTCTTCTTCGTTTTCTTATTCTTCATCTTTTAGGATTTTGCTAGCTTTCTGGCCGCCTAGACATCGCTCATACGCATCATCATCATCATCATCAAAAACGACTCGTCGCTCTCTCTAGCTGTAATGGCACTCGTAGTGTTAGTGGTGCCAGTAGCAGTAGCAGTAGAGATAGCAGATAGATTCAATTTGTATTAACGAAATCATAAGCCTGCCTGAACACACACACACGCACACATACGTACTGTCGGTGATGACACAAAGCGCATGCGTGCATCTGTGCTAATGTTATCTGCAGCTATACGATAGAAACGACAGTAACACTAAATACTTTCTATACTTGATTCTTTTGGTGCTGCCGTTGATGGATATATAGCTTTTGTGACTGACAGTTGATTTTCTCAAACAAATCTGATCTGACTATGACAAGAACAAGGGCAACAAGAAGAAGAAGACAAGAAAATCTTGATGATTGTTACACATTGTTAGTAGCAAAAAAAAACACTATTTGATTATTTCGATATAATATCTTTGCTGTACTTGAAATATATATTTAGCAACTAAATCGAATTTTGATAACTGTCAAAATAGAATAGAAACAGAAAAGAAAAGAAAACGAGCTGTTGTCAAAATGGCTTTTTCTCTTGATTATTTTTATTTTTATTTTTATTTTGTTTCTTGCTACCACCGCGCATTTTCATCTTTACAAGAGTGCATATAAACGAGTTTGCGTATAACTACTTTCTTTCTTTCTTTCTTTCTTTCTTTCTTATAGGCACGCACAGGAAATTGATTTTCGTCTCTGGACGAATTGACGTCGTTATTCTGTATACATCTGTGTTAAACACACACTAACAACAACGGTGAACGGATTTTCTTGGCATTCACTCATCCACACAATACAGATATATACATACACAAAACGTGTATACTGATAAACATTATACAAAAAATCGTTTTATTTGCATTCATCTGTGTCTAGTGTTTCTGTGTTATAGAGATTGACAGTGCCGACATTTGTTTAATCGATCGTTGTTAGCCGAAAAAGAGCACTCTATGAACACGCTGATAATGAAATATTGATGAATTCTTATGTGAAAAGAGTTCTGTCAATAGAAAAAAAAATTGATTGTCCTTACAGAAAAAAAGGGAAAACGGCAAATATATCTATATATATACAATCATCATCGAATGACATTGCACCTGCAACCAAAATTATAAATATATATATATGTTTAAATGCTTGAAACGATCCGACACAAAAAGATAGAGGGATACATTTTCTGTTGCAATATCTAAGATTGTTGATCGTTTATCTTTTCTCATCTTATCACTTAATGCCTATTCTGTTAGGATATATATTTGGACATGCGCAAATACTTTCAGTACCAACAAACACACACGAGTTAAAACAATTATGTTAGGTTATATAAAGTAAGATAAACAAGTGTATGTGACGCAAAGTCAAATGATTGACTTGTAATTGCTGTGATATTTATGTAGACTGATGGTTATCTTTTAGGCGGTTTCTTCTTTTTTTTGTGTGAGATGGCGTCTCTTACTTATCGTTCGTACGGGGATTTTTCTTTAGAAAATAGAAAATAATATTAAGCACAACCTACCCGACTTATTCCGATAGTAGTAAAAGATTTTCGAACAATTGGTTTTACAGGAATTGATGCATAAGTATTATTTGCATTATTGGATGTTTTGCATGACGATGTCGCATAATTTTGACGAGTGGCAGTAGCAGTAGTTGCTGTTGCAACTGATGTTGGTGTTAATGATTCTACTGGCAATGGCGACGGAAGAACAGTTGTAGTTGTCGTCTGAGATGAGTAATTACAGCTAGGATTGCTAAATCGTTTTATTGAAAACGATGTATTTAACCGTTCGTTCGAATAAATGCCAGGCGTTGGATTGTATTTACGTGTATAATACTAAAAATAAAATTTCGGAAACATCAGCATTATTCAACTCCAATTACTAGTATTCACAAATGTAAATACACTCACCATTTATAGCTTTCTTCCAACTAACTCATTTATTTAAGGAACGCAAAGCTCTAGGTGAATAAGAAAGCCGCCTATATTCTTTTCCTTATCCTTTTTTCTTGCTCTCTCTGAAGTAATAGAACGTCCCAAATGCTCATATATCCTATATACAATCAACAGAGAAATATACATATCGATGCAACTACGTAGCTGATTGCACAACGAACATGTCATCATCAGCATCATCATCATAATCACCGGCGCACACACACCACACGTTCATTCTGTCAATGCTGTTGAATATACACGATGATAAAAATTGATTTACTCCTATTTAGCTTCATTCTTAATAGTCAGATGAGAATTGTCTCTAGAAGAAATGCAAAAAAAAAGAAATTGACTATTAGCTAGTTGGTTAGCATAGTATTCGACATAAAAACGATTCTTAAGAGAAAGCCTGAAGGACATAAGCAAGAAACAATTGAACAAACAAACCTAAGCTCATGCCATACATCTTTGTGACTTTTTGTTTCACTCTTTGACTCTTCTTTTTCTCGTCTCTCATTACGATTGAATGAATAATGGCAAGGTAATCGTTTTGCTACTAGCTTACGTGTTAGAAGGAAATAATAGGAACGCATTGAACCATATAAAGCATGCGAATGTTTGTAAGAAAGACATATTTTTGATACCTTGCTGCGTTTGTTTGTTGTGTCTACGGTGAAAATATTTCTAGCGATTGAAACACATACCACTTACAATTTAACAGGATGCATTCATTATCAAGACAACGAATAACAATTGTTCGCAATATCATTACGACGAAAGAGAGACGGAAGGAGAAGAATTTTTTGTCTTGTTCGCTCTTTGTTACAGTGATGTGACAAATATGAGAGATAGACTTATAAAGAAAGAAACATAGAAAAGCTCAATTCAGGCAAATGATGGGAAACATGCATGCTGCTTTCGATTTAGCTTCTTATTTGGAATATACACGCAAAATAAAGACAAGTGATGATGCTAGTATATGCATCGTGTCACGCAAATCCGGAACGGAACATGTTAAATTTCCGTGATGTTCTTTATTTCAAGGTCGATATAAACATGAGTATATCGAGTGCCTGACTTAAGTTTCTTTCCTTTTTCTGTGATTTTCCTTTATTCATCATCTTATTCCACTAAACCGATCGTGATGATTGATATGAATATATTATAAAACAAAAAAAGAATATATATATATATATATATTTATTTATTTATTTATGACAAGAGGAGCATTTTGTTTTGTAGCTTGAGGCATCCATTGAATCTATTATGAATGATCCAACTGGAAGCTTTATTTCTCACGAAGTATAATATAGCACATCATCATTCGTCAATTTGATGATCGATTGATCTACATTTCTTTTTTCTTCTTTTTTTCTAGTTTGTTTACTCTAATCATATCAATAGTTGAGCGACATTGTCGTTTTCTTTTAAACTAAACAATCATAATTCTATCATTTTTTACAATAATTATCACTAAGATAGTAAATGAGGAAAAAAAGCGCAGACCATATGTATATTGTTACATATCTCAAGCGTAATGATGTAATAGAAAAATGTTTCTATCGATATTAGCTTACCAAATAAGTGTATACATATATACATATAGTTAAAAAGAAATTAAAGATAATCTTAGCTATTTATTTCTTCGTTTCCCGCTTACCTACTTTTTCATAATGATAGATGATATGATTTATTACGATTGATATGTATATCGGAAGGTATAGACTACTTAAGAAATATGTAGCACATTCCATTTTCTATCTCTTAAAAATATAGGCGTAGAGCACTTGATTATAAGAATAGATACAAAAACGGCGGAAGTATGTTTCTTAAGATCGATTTATTATTTTAGATTTAAGATGTTCGCCCTTAACGCGTGATAATGGTGAAACTATTCATTCGAATGATGATGCATTTGCTACTGATGATGATGATGATGATGATGATGATGATAAAGAGAAGATAGGGAATAGAATGTAGAGAATTTATCGACTGTTTACTGTGGGACAGCACCGTAAAACACATAAGACGAGATGCATACGCATACTCGCACATATACACAATAATAAGCGATGACGGAAGAAATAATGCGTTCGAGAGACTTGACGCTTCCCAATACTAATACTTACTGCTCATCATACAAAAAGCCAATAAATAATAATCAGCATTGATAAACAGACACGTCTCTGTTTCTATTCTTGATTTACGAAAAAAAGCGGAAAGAAAAAAGAAGAAGAAAAGGAAAATAATCGAATGCGCACTAGACCAAAGAGATATCTATTGATTGAACAATATACTAGGCGATTCCTATTTCTATTTGACACATGCACACATAGATCATATAAGGTTCTCAAGTCGCCGCATTATAATGTTCCTTGTTCTTGTTCTTTTTCTTTTTTTTTCTTTCATTCTATCTCCAATAAGTTTTATGTTTTTGATATTTATTCTATTTCTATAAAATATCGTAAGCAAGTCTAGATCGATGTCTCCTTCATTACTTTTCTTCTTCTTCTTCTTCTTCTTGGCTCTACAATGAAAGCGACAGCTCTTGATGTTATTGACAGCTCTGGGGCATCAAAGACAGAACAAGTTGCATGCATTCAGGCCTTTCTTTTCCCTCCTTTTCTTCTTTGTCTATTGAATAGTTATGGATGTCACAGCTGTTTGCACATAAATTGGCCTTGAGTACTTATTTCTTCTTCTTATTTAATGATACTTACAGTAATACTTCCCCGTCTTGAACTTGATTCCCTATATTTTAAAGCACGATCTCGTATGATGTCAGTCTGTATTCTATTTGCTTCTTGATCGCGACAGGCGTTTCTAGAATAAGACAAAAAAATTGAAATTGAATATGGGTAGACATATTGACCATAAACGATAATTTTATTAACGAATAGACAATGTTCGGATCGTTCAGGGGAAAAGTAATGGAACAAAGAAAATGCATTTTGTCTATTTTATCAAATGAACGAAACAAAACATAACAAAGAATGCTTAACAAAGTCAATCGCATTTTCTAGATGTACGCAATCGCAAAAGAGAAGAGGAGGAAAAAAAGATGCAAGACGAATCATTGGCTTTATTATGTATGACCGAATTAGCATATTATAATAAAGACTAAAATTGCATTGATAACATTGTTTCGTCGAGAAAGACAATAACTAATGGTAGCAAGAATGAATCTATTATAACAAAGAATACTCTATGTAAATATTTATATTTTTCATCATAGTAAACAAGAAACATTTACTAATAGTGTTTACTCATGTGCATTAGAGGTCAAGTCTTCATTTTTTTTCGAAAACTTATTCAAGACAGAAGATAACGATTTCATTTTCTTTGCATTTCTACACAGGAAACTGTACGATTATATACTATTTGATGGTCAGTATTATCTCTATATTACTCGATAGGAATGGAGCAGTCTTCAATGAGAAGACTTTTTAAAGATGGAATGGACTCAACGAAGCAGCTATTCAAACTAAATGGCCTATTTAAAAGAATGTCATAGTGAAATTGAAAGAACTCTAAAATAATTTGTTCTCATGAGACAAACGATCATCCGTTTAGATGCAGAAAAACGCAAAGCTAAAAACTATCGATACAATATTCTTTTGTCGAAATATTGAATTTCTCAAGAATAATCAATCAACGCTACTCGAAACTTTTAGTATGTTCCATAAATCTTCTTATTGATTTGCATACGTCTAAAACTCCATTAAAAATTTAGTTAAATATCGATAGTTTTTGTTTTTTAACAATCCTTTTGTTTTCTACGTGGAATATAGTCTCAAGCTACAACTTGAGTTCCTTGATATTGTTAAAGAATTCTTCACCGGAAAGAATTATTATTATTATTAGATTCCAAATTAGAGTGTGGTAAAAATTTGTCCGAGATACAATTTCGGAAGTGAATATCAGTTTTTTCTTTTATATAGAATATGATAATGACAAAAAAAAATTGCATTTCGTTGATATTTTGTTTCAATCTTCAATTCAGAGAACAACAACAACAATCATTTCGTTGTTCGTTCTTCGGATTTTACTGTGGTATGAGTACTCATCGACTTTTTTTAACAGCTCATCATCATTAATGTCTTAAATAACTATTGGTAGGTTTATAATTGAATTTTGTTTTTGGAAAGTTAATGAAATTGTTATTCTGTGAATAGCACGGGTTATATGGAATTCTATTCTAATCTATTGAACTCTCTCTTCGTGATCTCAAAGGTTTTTGGATATCGATCAGAAATTTGATTGAGAGATGTCGCTAAATTTAATGAATAATTCTCTCCCGGGTATTCGCTATGACAAAAGCACTAGGAGTTATTTGTTGCCGTAAGAGATATCGAAAAATAGTCTTATCCAGTCAGTCTCACCCACATGTGTGCATGATTATTTTAAGCTAATATATATATATATATATATATATATACTAATTACATAAAGTATTTATTTTGATAGCAACCATTTGAATAAGAGAGATTCTACTGCATATTGATTTCCACGGCAAGGTGAACGTGACTTTGTATAATAGAAATAGTTTCATGATAAACCTTTTTAATAACCGATGCAAATAATCTTATCTGGGGAAATTCGGCGCATAGAAAATAAATTTCTTATTATTTATTTATAGTTTTACTTACAATTTTTGTAAACGAACTAAGAATGGAAACAGATAGTCGACTTCTTTCATTGTAGAAAGACTAAATTATAATTTTATCATTGTTCACTAGAATAACATAAAATAACTTAAATTATTCATTAAAACTAATGTTCGAAATGCGTTTTTTTAATTTTTTTTTATATTGCAAGAAGCTAAATGAGATAACATTTATAGCAGTTTCTATTAAGAATAGAGCTCTGGCAAAATATATTATTCACACTTGAGAAACGTTACTTTTCAACGAGAAAGTTCTTAAAAAGTTGTCGGATGAAGTTAAATTGTTCTTTTTTATTTCATTATTTTATTCTATTCATTACTTCTTTTTCTTTATAAAACTATGCATCTGTTCTGACTAGATTTCCTTATACGAAAGATAAATAACACTTACAAATAGTTGGTTATCACAGATGAAAAATTGCTCGTGCCTATGTCCATTTTATTTTTACAAAATGAATTAGTACAGATATATTTTCGATTTAAAACGTTTCGTTGAACAGATAATAGATGTCTCGACAATGATCATGATTTTAATGACAACAATTTCTTATCTTTCTCTTTTGCAACGATTATCAAGTCAATTGACAATAAGAAACATGTGGACAAGATCGAAAGAGACGCGCGTCTACACATTTGTTGTGCTCATTCAAAATTACTCACTTAAATCGAAATATGGCCATAATAAACATAATAAAACTAATAACAATCACAACTGTTAAAATGACTTTTATTTGTGTTTTAGTCAAATCTAAAAATAATCGTAGATGAGTCGTTTTTCTTCTTTTTTTTTTGTCATACATACTTGATCCATCTTTAATTGAAGTGTAAGTTAAAGAATTATCGAAACCTCTTAACTTATTCAACGATGAATTTATGTTGTTTTTTATTGATTCATTGGTTAAATTCAATACAGGATAAATATACGTCATAGTTGAATGTGATTTTTCATGATTATTTAATAATGACGACGATGATTCAATAGTTGGTATTAAAAACATTATTGATGTTTTATTCGTCGAAAATTCTCTCCTATTAAACAATGATAGACAACCAGCAAGTAATAAGGATAAGGCAAGTGTTCATTTTCTTGAAATCTACAAATAGAAATGGATTATTTATTTTCTGAAAACTTTATATACGAACTTCTATGTCCTTCTTTCTCTTGCTTATATAAATAGATAAATATTGTAGATTATGTTAACCTTTGCAGATTATCCAATGACACAGCAAAAAAAAGCTGCTCATGTGTGATTAATTCAATCAATTCACACAAGAAAGCAAATCATATTAGGGCATAATGTATATAGTACTATGAAATCCAATATCAGCTTCGGGACATGAAAGAGAAGAGATGGCACTCACTCTTCATAAAATGTGTGTCTCTTCTCGCTTTCTTTTCTTTTCTTATAAAAGCGATCGTTTTTTTTTTGCAAGGCTTCTTCAAGCAATACTCTCAGCAGCGTCAATGCACATGATGTAACACATCAAACTATGTGTATATAGATAGAAATAGCTATTTGAACCGTTAAATTCAATTAGTTTTTATATCCCAGTCTATATACGTAGGTACTTTCTCAAAATAGTCTATACTATTGTTCAAATCAGATATACAATAAAAAAATGTAACTATCATTCTATTCAAGCAATTATTAGAATACATTGCCATGTACTTACGCCACAACAGATATTGTCTTGCATTTAAATAATGAAGAAGATAAGATGAACACTAATTATCTTGCTTTGAAATATAGACCTGCGTATATTTTTCTCTCTGCCATTTTCCCCATAAATTCTAGGAAAGAAAATCAGTCACAGATTTTTTATTACTAACGAAAAAAATATATTTATAGTCTATAGAGATACAGTAGAATATTTCTCTTCTTCTTCTTTTCACTATATAAGTACATGCGTCTTCAACTCATTAATTATGTACTGATGAAGAGTTGAAAGTAAACGATAAAATATTAGTAACTATTGTGATTTCAAAAGAAAGAAGAAAAAAATTATTTCCTAGAATTGAATTCAATGTTACATTCCGATAGATCGAGTTTCAGATGAATTTTTTGTAATTTACTCATGAATGAATTAATAGAACGAAACAAAATTATATATATATATATATATATATATATAATTTATTTATATAGTTGTCTGGATATCTTCAATTGATCAATAGGTCGATACACTTGTGATCTTTAAGCCGCTTTTGAAATATTTTCCTTTTATCATAAAATATCTGTGATATATTGGTTTCAATTATTATTTCAGCACCACTTACCGAAGACAAACAAACAAAAAAGAATGAATACATCTCTTACGGAATTACTTCAACACTGAATGCTTGCGCTTTTCTCTTCGTCTTCTTTCTCGCCATATGGGAAACCATGGATTCATCAAAGAGACTAGACGAAGAACATACATAGTAATTGTAACTGGAAAATAGGACTAATACATACCGTGATGCATCGATATTCACATTTCAATATGTCGAGAAAAAAGTGAGCTTAGCGCTTAGACACACACGGCTCACATTCTATATCCATAATTTTACGTGCGTAATACTAACGAATATATATTTTATGATAGACTAACTAATAATTCTAAGTTAATAATATTAAGAGAAAAATAACAAATGACAATAATGCATGATTCTTATTCAGTTTAGCCGGATGTTCAAGTTTGTAAAACGTGTTCAAAATGAGCACGCAAACATGCCAGAACATATTTGCCATTAAATAAATCAGCATGATAGATTCGAGAATAAGCTAGAGTTCGTTTAAACGTGTGCATTGAAAAATCTTTTCCGTTTTCTTTATCCCTATATTAAAAAAGAAAAGGTGAAGAGCATGTGATACTTATAGAACAACAAAAATGATTAGAATAGCCGTTAAACATAAAATTAATGCTAACGCAGCAATAAGTGGTTCGCGTATTTGCGATGCTGCAGTTAAATCTCTGTGCATAATTTGTCGATTAACTCGACAAAATCTATAAATACTAAAGAATAACAGTATAACACCAGCAAAAGCTAAAAGTAAACCAGATATAATTGGCTTGATTTCATGAAATGAATCTTTAAATGTTTTTTGAACATCATTTGCACCACCGAATCGTGCGATAGCACATCCAAAAGCAAATATGCCAAGGCCAGTTCGTATCCATGCTAAGAATGTACGCTCATTAGCTAAATGATCTGTAAATGAACCTTGAAATTTATTTGCCGCTGGTTCCGGTGAAGTTTTTACAACAAGTGGATCTACTAACGGAGACGATTCAACCATTTCCATAGTCCTAAATGAAATTCCGATTAGTATATAATCCTGTTCCTTATCAGCAAGTAAAATCAAGGTCAAACCATTAGAAAAAGTGGCCACATGAAAAAAGAAAGAAAACACGTTTACCTATACACTTGAAAAACAAACACACGTAAAACGCTTTGTAATTATAATGAGAAAACGCTACAAACAAAAGAAAGCAATTGTCTCAATTGCTGTTGAGACTTAATTTCATATTACTGAAAAATATTCATTAATCGATGTTGATACTACAGATTTCAATTGATATATACGTATATATATATATTCGTTTATTATTTGTATCACAGATTAAAAGCATTCCAACAGTGTTTCCTCGAACAGGCACAGTATGTTAGATATGATATATCCTTAACTAACTGCGCGATACATCTGTTGTCATTTATGCACATCAATACAATTAATTTAGTCGCTTGTCGTATAATTACGAGGTCACATAATCTCATGGACTTAGTGGGAACAACTAATCAACGGCGATATAAAGAATAAAAACGTACTTTTTCCTTTATAGTAGCATTACGTTTATTTTTACTAAATAATCAGGTTAAGAAAAAGTAAAGAGGATTATGTAAATCACGAGGCTCATGTCTATAATATTTGCCAGAAGGCTGACTTAAACAGATTTTTCTATCAAAAAGAATATCAATTATTAAAACACTAATAAGATAAAGTGTAACAAGAAAATAATCAGAAACCTTCGAATAAAAACTAGAAGATTTATTATTAATAAAATATATTAAAACTTTCAAAAACGTGTCAATAAATAATCTTCAGGTATTACAAATTGATAATAACCTAACTCGCTTAATCATCGTGGCGACCTCGGAATATGATCAGCATACAGCGCCTTCAAAACTGAATGGTTAAATTTGATGATTCATCCTGTCTCGATTTTTGTATGTACAACGTAGCCAGCAGAAAGAAGGAAGGACGTGCATTGTACAACCGCTCATGCGTAGATATTCAACAAGGTTTAACACTTCATGCTGAGCCTCTCTACGAAAAAAAAATGACTTTTGGTATAATCAGGCCAATCTTTCAAAATGTTGTCTTCCTGTTAACAATTGTTTTATTTCTCGTGGGAATCTGGAGTTATTTATATCGACACGAATCAAACTATTGTGGTAATTAAATTTCTAATTAACCCAAAAAAAAAGAGTTAAATCCACGGATATCTTTTGTTTAGAAATGACATATATGTTTGAAAATCCAACCTATCCAAGAATATCATTACCGAAAGATGTTGAAACACGCTATCCACGTTATGCGCTTCATTCCTATTGTGAAGGTGCTCGATGTGAAGCTCATCGACGGAATCAATTTGTTGGTATGTAACTGATTGTTTTTTTCTTTCTTTCTGTAAAGGTTGTGCTTTTGTAGGTTATCCTGTTTTATTCATCGTTGGCAATGCTGATAGTTATCGCCAAGTTCGTTCACTTGGTTCAGTCGCCTATCGAATGGGTGACAAGCAAAAACAATTGGATTATTTCTCCATTGATTTCAATGAAGAACTTTCAGCTTTGTTCGGTGGTGTTTTAGAACAACAAACAGAATTTATTGCTCATGCTATTAAAACAATTTTTTCTTTTTATAAAACAAAGAAAACAATTATTCTTGTAGGAAATTCAATTGGCGGCCTTTTGTCCCGTAAGATTTATTCATTGGAGAAAAATAACTTTCATTTATTAATGAAAATATAGGCGCTGTTTTCTTACAACCACCGGATCGTTTCGATCCAAATACAGTTCGTCTTATAATTACACAGGCAACACCTCATCAAGCAGCTGTTATTCATGCAGATAGTTATATTATGAATTTTTATTCTCGTGTCAATCAATATTGGAAAGATGAATGGAATAATTCACTTAAGCATCTTACTCTCTTATCATTAGCTGGTGGTGATAGGTAATTTTTTTAAAAAGAAAGTTTTTTTCTAAATTCTCACAGGCTATTTCCATTTTTTTTGCTGTGCTATTTTCTTGTGATATAGAGATCATCTTGTACGAAGTGATTTAACTTCGTTGAATGGTCTTACTGATGAAAGTCGATCGATTGATGTGCTAACAAGTGCTGTACCTTATGTATGGGCATCAACTGATCATCGTTGCATTGTCTGGTGTAGACAATTAGTATTGGCTACAACACGTGCACTTCTTGAAATTATTCAAGAGAAAAAACGAGATTCTCAAACAACTATGCAGGTAATTTTATTGAAAAGCTTGAATTGTTTCTTTTCGACTGTTTTTAGTTTTCTAGATTCTTAAACAATATTTTTCTCCGTCTGTTGATTTAAATCTTGGAATAAATACAACATTGACTTATAAAAAAGACCCTACCATAATCACCGAATCAAGTATATCAATTTATGGAAAAGAAGAAAATGATTATTTGATTCCATTGAAAAATTCAAAATTTCATCGAATTATTATTCATTCAACAAATGCTAAAATTTATTTAAGAAATACTGATGTAACCTTGGACATCACCAATACTCTTCTACCCATTCCACCGACATATAGTGATCGTAAAATGATTCGATTCGACATTAAACAATTAGATGATAGTTTAAAACAATACGACTCAATTCTTATTCGACTTGAAAATAAGAAATCACAAATTGATATATATCAAATTGAAAATGATGAACAAGTAGTTGAACTTTCAGCGTAAGTCACTTTGACTGATAGAGAATCTTCGCTCTGCCATAGTGAGAGGCTTTTGTCGTTTGATTTAACTTTTATCATGGGTCGTATTTTTTACTCGACGGTATAACACTCACATATCTAACAGCCTAATTGCAGTATAGAATAGATGTCTGAGTGAATTTCGTGTCAAATATACTTAATATCAGTTATTAATAATTATTATCAACTCTCATTTTCTTTCTCCCATTAAAGATTTGGTTCACAAACATTAAAATTCAATCAAGCAGGCTATGTCAAACTTGTCTTTCCAACATTGTCTAATCTTTGGCAAGTCTATTGTATTCATTTATCGTCAAATAGTGAAAACACTCCTTTAATTCATTTTCATGTTCCATGGTCAAACGAAGATCTATACAATCTAATTTCATTGCGTCCTGCTTCATCACCAACTACTAATCTGCCAAAACCGCTTGCTCGTCAAATGCGTTTAAAACTTCATCGACCATCTCAATTTACTAATGGCGAATATCCGTCACTTGAACTTTTTCTAAATTCAAAATCTTCCTATAAACTCGAAATTAGTTATTCATTTCTTGATTTTCTATCTCAATTGATACGCTACTATGTTTATTTACTACCAACATTTTTATTTACTGTTCTATGTGTATCATATTCACTGCAAGTCGACGAAGTTACACTTCGTACATATCAAACTATGCTCGCATGGCAAATACATATTCCTGTAGCTCTATTAATAGCAATACTTTATAAAATTGTAATCATTTTATTTCCATCATCGGCTTTCGTCGTGAACATACATTCAAATGGTTATTATTTTTTTTCTTTACCCTTAATTCTCTATTTTCTTTCACTAAGTCTATGGGCTATGATATCATTTATAATTGATTATCTGATATTTGATTTCATTCATATTATGTTATATCCATTATTAGCTTATTTCTCTAATGAATTACGTCAACAACAAAAAATCACACGTTTAATCCAATGGATATCATTATCATTACCTTTAATGTCGACATTATTATTCAGTGGTTCAAATGGTCATATAAGCTTATTTATATTAGCATTATTACATATAGTGTGGCGTGGAACAATCAATCAACGTTTGAGAAGAGTCTTAACAACGATACTTTTATTTCATGGTCTTCTTGTTGTGCTTAATTTAACTGGTTTTATAATGCATATTAAAAGTATTTTAATACAAGGCTTATATCCATTATTGATAATTATGCCGGATCCATCATTTCTATCAGCAATATGTTGTATAACAGCATTTTATCTTCGATTTAAATTGAGTCAATCACAAAAAAAAATAATTCAAGTTTTAAAAATATTCTTTTTAAAATATAATCGAAGTATATTAATTTTATTGGCATTGATTAGCCAATTTTTTTGTTCCTATTCTATGCACTATTTATGGATATTGATTTCTTTTATATTTATTCATGTAGCTGTGATATTTTTTGTTCCTTCACATCGTGACTAATATTAGAATTTTGAACTTTCTTAAAATCAATAAAAGAAAAAGAAAAGCAGCCGAGCAAAATTACGCAAAAAATCAATTAGTAGTTATTTTCTTTGTTCGCGACGTGCATGACCTAAATAGAACAATAGAAATAATTCGTTTACTATTTTTATTCTTACCATCATTTTGTCGATCTCTTGATCCACGACCATGTCTGTTTAAATCTACAGCTAAATAATCATATAGAGAATATTTTATGATTGAATAAAATCGCGATAGATGTTATTACCGGTGAACTGAGCTAAAGTTTCACCGGGGCCACGCATTTTTTCGGAATCCAATGCTGGACCTGCATAATGTTTTTTTCCTCCACCATCTGATGTTGGCGTTCGTTGATCTAAATTATGAGAATAATATACCGAGTTTTATAATATATAATTAAAAATAAATTCGTCATTTTTACTCGAGCTCTGTGAAGGACTTTTTTCATGATCAAACAATGGACTCTGTTGAGATGTTTCATTTCGATTGTCTCTAGAGGTAGATCTAGCTGATTGGCCATCTAAATGGCAGGAACTTCTTTTTGGTGTTTTCTATGATGGATTAAAACAAAACTACGTACCTGTTCTCTGCGGAGACGCTTGACTTTGATCACTATTCGTTGTAAACCTTGAACTGTCGCTCTGTTTCGGTGGTTGATGACCTACGTAATCAGAATATTGATTATGGTTTCATAAAAAATTCATCGCTTTTTACTTGGAGCCGGAAAAAAAACTGAACTATGGTAGGGTAAACGACTCTGTTCAGACGTTGGCATTGAATTGTCCCTGCCTTTATTTGTTGATGTCTCTCTAGATATATGTGAACGATGATCTGAATGATAACAGTTGTATATTATTCAATTGAAAGCGACGAATGTGTTTACCTGGAGACTGAAGATGATTTTGATTAATATGAGACGCTGATCCATAACGATTCCGATTAGCATTCTCATTATCGGGATGCCTCGATGGTAATGACTAGTAATGAAAATACATTTTTTTCAACCGTTTCAATTTAACCAAATAAAAAATTGACAATTTACTCTACGCATTGATTCTCTCGACAATTTGTTTAAATAATCACGAATATCATCAGTGTCGTCCAGCGTTTTAATAATCGCAAGAAATTCCTGCTGTTTGCTTGATTCATAATCAGTGCCACGAATGGCTTCTACAGCTCTATACGCATTTTCAAATCGATAGCTTACTAAAGATGGAGCAAAATGACGTGCTTCACTGAGAAACAAACGAGCGAGACGCTAGAAACAAAATGTTTTATTCGAAGAAATTTTTTTTAAAGATGATTTTATCAGTTACTAGTCAGTAGATCTAACAAAAACTTACGTTCATATTCTGATCTGGAATATTGCGAACAGCAAAGAATATATTTCTCATGGGATTGTTTTCCAAGTCCTTGTTGAGCGTTTTCAAAGGTGCTATCAGATTATCGAACGAAACCGTTGCATTAATATTATCCGTTGGGTTGAGGCTCATTTTTGATTGTATTACTGATTTAACTTGCTGTGGGTTATCACCGTATGCCATTGATACACGTAAAGCACAGTCGGGACAATTTCTAATATCCCGTGGCAGTTGCTTCTTCCATTGTTCGATATCATTTTCATGTGGACTAATACTTGCTTTTATCTTGGTCACTTCTAATTCGATAATTGGCTGAGTTAATTTGCAACCTCGTTCGATTTTGCTTTTCACAGTACGCTATATAGATAAAATTTCGTATTTTACCAATCAAATCATGTCTTACGTCAAAATTTTACCTTAAGTTTGTCAACTAAATCAAGAGTCATAGTATTACGGTCAGTTGAATCGTGATTATCATATGAAGGATTTCTACCGGACTGCATCAATTATAAAGAAAAAAGACAAATCATTTCTGTTTTGTTCTCATTAAATAAATAATTACTTGAGAAGATGTTGAACTTAATCCAGGCCGTCTAGTGCGACTACTATTGGTGTCGTTGATTAATCCGCCAAAACCAATACTTCTATCAGCCATTTTAACCAAAGAAATATCGAAAACGAGAAAATACAACGTTTCAAGTCACAGTATTTACTCATAAGCCGTTTTTTATATGGAATTCAAACTCGTCTCAATCGAAATAAAACAATAATAATAAATGTGTGACATTATTTATTTAAAAACATTTATCCCAATCGCAATTGAATATTGATACTCATTCTCACAACAGATCAAATTCAGAGAAAAGAATTACTTGATCGAATTTTTCGTTGTAATATCGTTGATTTAGATTCATTGCCACTAAAATCTTGGTTTTGTCAGTCTTTTTGGTTTACCTAATGATTGATTTAAGTTTTGTTGACATAACTAAAAGAAATCATAAAGTAAACATAGTTATAGATTTTTACGACTATGATCTAAACTGTGAATAAAAACAAGATTCAATCATCGTACATTTAGTCAATCGAATTCAGTGGATCCGAAATTTTAGAACGTAGACTAAGACTCCAAAATCTAGCTGCGATTTAATTTACTGAATAAAATTTGTCCACAATTTTCAATACTTACTTCTATTAAAACTTGTCTTGTAGCATTAGCTGGTATAGGAACGGATGCTTTCTTCAGAAATTGTTCGAGATGGTTTTGTTCATAAAGTACCCTTCAAAAGACAAATTTCATACATGTAGTAGCTTTTTGATTATCTTACCATGGTTCTATTTGATGCTGCCAAACAAGTGAACATAAGAATAGTTTATAACATTCTCTATTAAATAAAAATTAAATTAAATTAAATAAATAAATAGAGATTCCGAACTCGCATAGTCGGCGTTCCGCCACGCCAGATACTGGATTTATACAGCCTTCTAGTGGGCATGTATTATCGTTTGATATTTCTTTTTTCCGAAGTTCATTGAGTATATTAACGCGATGATCCTTGAAAACAAAAACTGATGAATATAAAATAGAAAAAAAGAAAGAATACGAACTTCGAGTAGTTTGATAATTACATTCATTCGAGCATTACGAGTTTCACGAAAACAATTCGGAGGACAATGAGCATGGAATCCCATCTTTGGATTACAGCCAACTTTTGGACACTTCTAAGTATTAAGGTATTCTTATAATTAATTCTATATATCTACTTGTTTTTACTTTATTTTTCTCTAGTGAATAAAACAACGAGGAACACATTCGGCAAAAGTCTGTTTTACAATATTTACAAATAAAATGTTCACAACCTCCCGGTTCTCTATTTAAAAAAAAGAACCAGATAAGAATAATTCTTTTTTTATATATCAAACTTACAAGTCAAAAATATTTTGGCATGCTGAATTGGGACATTGGAAGCCAGTTTCACGTATCAAGTTCAAAGCTTGTACGCTGGGATCATCGGGATCATTATCCGTTAGCCATTCATCATATTCATCGCATTGCATCTGCGAATGATCGGGAAACCACTAAGAGAAAAAGCAATACATTGATTTTGAAGATGATTATTTAATATTCATCACACACTTTTCGATTACATTGTCGACATTGAGAAAAACGGCAATGAGGACAGCGCACAGAACCAATATCATTATTTTTATCAATATCAAAGTAGCTGACACACTAAAACAGATCGAATAGATTTCAATAAATCAAGACAATGAACTAACTTTTGGATTACCGCACTTTCTAAATTGTTTATCACGTGTCGCATAAAATATTTTGTCCTGGTAAATTTTAAGAATTTCCGGATCATCAGAAAACCATTGCCTGAACTTATTAATAAAAAATTTAATATGATTCGTATGGTTATGCATAGTTATTTTCAGTATACTTTTGCTTCTAAATATGTAAAAAAATTCATTTTTGTATCATTTGTTAGTTCATGTGCTTCGCTGAAACATGTTAATCTATTTAATGATTTATGATCTTCAATTTCTCTTATAGTATTTTGATAATATATTTTCAGACATTCCAAACAGCACATATGATCACATAAAAACATTGTTTCCATTTGATTGCGTGGAACAGTAGTCAAACATATCGGGCATGTTGTCGACAAAGCATTGATTGCATCTTTTCGAAAACTGTCCGATTGTATTTCCTTATTTAAAGTTACAAGATTTTTAACGGCAGCTATATTCAGACTGCCGATAGCATCAAGTGATAATTCGCATAGAACCGACGAAATCATTTCGATTTTGACAGGTGCTTGTGGACCCATGACATCCGATATTTCGCTAATCAATAAACGATGTATCATCTACAAAAACAGGGCATAGGAAAATGAATTTTGTAAAGAAATTTTTTGTTTCGTTGTACCGATAAAGTAGTTTGATTCATATTTGCATTTTCGTTCGTCGCTCGAAGTTGTTGAATCGCTGGTATAATATGTTGAACATGCTTCCATTTCTGAATAGAAACAAAAGGATTATATTGATATCTATAGTACAATGCCTCTCCTACAGCTACAGTTAGACGTAGGTCATCAATTCTGGATTAAATAACAAGAAAAAGTGACTACTTACATCGCCTTCGCGTAAACATTTATTAGCTGAATTAGTATCGCTTTGATATTTTTTTAATAAACGCCAATGGTGCTTCAAAGATAGTACCGAATTGTTTATTGAACTATTCGCCAATGTATTCGAAACTGGTTTTGTCTAAACAATAGTTTTTCAAGTGTAAATCTTCAATTCATCGATACAGAAAACATACGAAATCCGGACGATCATGTTGTAATATATCAAGAGCTTGCTGTTGATGAAAACGCGACCGAATTAAACAATTAATATAAACTTCATCGGTACGAGGGACACTCGTTTGTGTATCCTTTTCTTTTAAGAAACGGATTTTATTTTCAATGGCTGTATTTAAATTGTCATCACCAGCTGTAATCGAATCCGGATAGGTGTTTTTGAATACTAAAAGTGCTAATCTTCGAAGAATAAATGTTTGTGTAGGAACAGCATTGTATTTTGTCACTAAACTTGCCTAGAAATTATATTGAAGATAAAGATGTAGAAAAATAATAGATTTGCAACCTTAAACGATTCAACTGTTTCTAACGTTTCTTTATTGTGCGCTTGAACACGATCTCGATTTGGATTGATTACTGGTCTCGACTAAAACACAGAGACTTCTTATTCGAAATTTTTGTATGAACATTAAAGATCATATTCACCGTAGAGGACGAGGTTCGCTTGTTAGGTTTGCTTTCTTCATCAGCTGAAAATAAAAATTGATGATTTTCTCAAGTTCTCAAAACAAACACTTACATTCATTATGTTTATCGGAATTCTAAACAAAAATAAAAAATATATATATGTGAAATTTTCTAAATCATTTTACACGTAAAAATTCTTCTAAATCATTGAGTGACTCGGTTTGAGCATTTTTTAAATATTCATAAAATTCTTGAAATTCTGTTGTGTTATTAAGACGATGATTTTTTTCACGATCTGATGTTGGCGAGAAATAAATATATTTATCATTACTATCGCAAATGTAACCAAAATAAATCAATAAATCTAATAGTTCAGGCTAGAAAGAAACACATCTTGAGGGTAAAACGTATGTCAAGTATGAAATGAAACCAACTTTTTTAGCAAGTTTATCAACGATATCTTGATTTAGAGTTGAACCGTTTGGTGGATTTGATACAAGTATGGATTTGAGAGGAGCCAAAATTTTTAACAAAGACTTCAAATCTTCTTTAGTCTATAATAATAATAAGTAAACAATGTTTGTTCATAGGAAATTTAAAAAAGAACAAATTAACAAATACACACTCTATTTAAGTGAATATTTGACTTGACAATGCCTTCAGCTGGTATATAACGATATGATGAAAATGGATTCGCCATTCTAAAACGAAATTATACGATTAAAAGAACTTTGTGTGGCCTTCTCTGCCTTCGTATTCAATAGACACTCACGTGCATTTTTTTCATGTAAAAAGCAATGTTCTCTTTCTGTTTGTCGACGCTTCTTGTTCGTTGCGTTCTCTTTCAATAGTGACACACCATATTTACCAACCCTGAGATCGAGTATTACTGGGGAAAAATATCTTTTAAAGAGCGATTTTGAACGAGTCACTCACCGAAGAGAAAATATGCAAGTAGTAATAATGAACCCACCGATTAGAGTCAATATCTTTTCTTCAATGTTTCTCTTATGCTATTGAAGCAAGTTCTCGATGAATTTATGACCAAGCCGTTAAAAAAAAAGAATATTATATTCATCTGAATGACGATTTCAGAAGGGGTCCTATTTAATTTGCAAGAGACTACTGATTCTTGTTACCATCGTGTATACATAAATTTGAATGAAGTCTTGCATCTTTACATTCTGCAGTGCCCTAATTACGCATTGTAGAGTTTTCGTTTGACATGTTGGTACATATTTTCTAATTCGATTAATTGTGAAAAAAAGTGTTACGGTTGACTGAACTGAGATTATGTTCAAAGGTAATATTTTATTTTATAATTTTCAATGCTAATCTTATCCATACATATTTATTTGTCAGGTAGTCGTGTTGTGCTCTTGAACATGATTTATAAAGATTGCAATTTGTAATTGAGTTGTCTGTGCAACAATGAAAGAATCATAGTATGAATACTAATGCTTTGATCAATAACAAGAAACTTTAGTTAAAATCTAATGCACAGCAAAAACGCTGATATAAACTTTTTCTACACGAAATATCAAACAGAATAATTGCAAATACAAGAAAAAAATATATATATAATAATAAGTTCATAAGGAACAAAATATTATGTAGCATGACGGAGAGCAGCCAAACGACTATTTTGTGCAGCAGCTACTTGTTGTGCTGGTGTTACGACAGAATTTTGAATTGCTGGAATAGCATCGAGTTGAGAGCGAATATCCAAATTATTTTCATCAGCAATTTGACGTAACAGCTCTTGGACACCTTCAGCTGGTGTACTTGTTGCCATAGCTTGATTCATTGCATCACTCATCACTTTCTCTTTCACGTCGAAATCTTCAAATGCCTAAGATAAAAGAATTTTTCAAATTATTTTGTTTTCTGATCAAATAAAACAATCTAACTTGTTCGAATTTTTCCATCACTTTAGCTAATTCACCAGCATTCATCTCTTGATTAACATGTTCAAGCATTTTATTGACTTGTTTCATATTTTTAACCATAATACTTTGGGCATTTGCTTGTTGAACCTATAATAAAAATTCGAAATGATATATTGGTCATTATTCAAAGAATTATTTTACTTTAGCTATTACACTATCAATACGTGAAGCCATAATAAGAAATTGATTATGTGCTGTTCGATTTTGTATTGCTGTTTCAGCATAAATACGAGCAGTTTCAACATCACCTGTTTTTTTCAAAGCATCCAATGCTTTCTTTCGACTTGCATCATATTTTTTCTCTGCCGCAGATGCTTCTTTTTCAATCATTTTTTTCGTAAATCGAAGATTGAATTCAGCATTTGTACCCATGATGACACAAATCTAGAGATTGAGACGTCAAATCACTCGACGGAAATTTAGAAAACATCTGTTTTCTTCATTGGAATAAAATGACAACCAGCCTTTGTTCGAGGGCAAAAGAGGGCGCTAGTTATAACAAATATCTTGTTCGTGTTGGGTGTGGGTGTCAACGTTGATATGCATGAAGAACAAACTCACGCCCTCATTAACTTTGAGGAATATAATTTCGTTAAATAAAAAAACAAAAACAATGTACGATTCTTGACGCTTCACAGATCTCCATTCATCAGAGAGATGCTCGTCGATTAATTCGAAGGTTTCATCATACATTCGATATCATTCAAATCAAAACATATTAGTTTTTTTCATAGAAAAAAAATGATTATTGAGAAACTACTTAGAGAGCATTGCAGGATCTTATTACAAAAAGAAAATTTAGTTTAATTTAGTGTTTTAGTGATTAAATAGTGTGCTGATCTCATGAAGATCGTACTGGACGGTTTTTCGAACATTTATTTTTGTGATTCTTCTGGCATAATATGCGTATAAGAGGAAAAAGTATTGAACGTGTCAAGTTCTCCAAAAAAGGTTCTTCAAAATTACTCTGTAAGAATAGAAAACTCACACCATTCGCGTAATTTGAAAGCAAAACGATGACAATCTTTTTAAAGTTTTAATATAACGCAAACGTTGTATAATGACTTACTTTTATTATGGAATAAAATTCCTTAATACAAATGAATCCAAAGAACTAGAATGCTCAAATCTTCTTATGATGTCAGTTCCTTCGCCGCATGATATATACTTGAAACCAATCACTATAATAGTTAGATACCGACTGATAGAATGCTCAAAGAATTTCTAAATCTATGCTGTGTCAACAGCACCCGGGATGCGTTTGTAATTTCTTAAACTACTGCAGTTAGTGCTAAATCTAAATGAAGAATCAATGGTCATGAATCTAATAAAAAATTGTTTTGTATTTTAACTGGACAACTATTTATCGATACAGACTCAAAAAAAAACAACAACAGCTATATCCAACAATATTTAATCAATATAATGCATAACATTTTTTTTCTTTCCTAGAACTTCCTATATCGAATAATATTTATATCGTTTATGTTTCTATTTGCTGAGAATCTAATTCAAGCTTCACAAAAACGTTCGACACTGGAAGCATATTGCATCATGGAATTAAATGAAAAAGATATGAATTCAACTGTGTTCATTTTCAGCAAAAACAAGACCTGTGGCAATTAAATACAAGTCGGAAACAACACACACAAGTATCTATTAACCGCACAGGAAATATGATGCTCGCATAAAATAACTTAAAATACTTTCAATAGAAGTCATTTAACTAAAATTTATTTTAAAATAATTTTCGGCAATTACAAGACTGAAGAACGGTTAATGTGAAAGAATTTGATAAAAAAATTATTACAGAAAGACAGACGAACTCATAAAATCTTTAAAAACATTTAATGATTGCCACTTCATTTTTACAGCTTTGCCCCGGTTATGACACAAACAACGATTGATACCGAAAAGGCACCACAATCGTTACCAAACGAATAATAGTAGTTTACTTAAACTATATGCAGATAGAAACAAAAAGATCATATTTATCTATTTAATATAAATAATTTTGCTTTCTCACTTAATGCTTCCATATAGCCCTCGACAACTAATGACTGATGAAAATACAAGATATTGCGTTTTCTATTTTTCCATGGGACTGTATACATCGAAATAAGAATAAGAGATAAGACGTTCATTCATTGAATATCTTTGCTGTATATTTCACACGCATCTAGTTTTTGACACAACACAATTGGCTCTCCTATTTTCCATAGTTGATTATCTGAAAAGAGTTCAACTTCATTTCAAATATTGATAATTAGTACACGAAACGATCAGCATCGCTAGGATCACTAATAATTAATATTCGCAATGTAATAAATGAGGTTTAGTCTATTCTATTACCATCATAGCACATGTTTGTAACGTCTAACAGTTATCTCATTTGTCATTCCAATAACAAGACTGCAAAGATTAGTAAAATATCGATAATCTATATCTTGGACTGAACGATATCCTATAAGAATAATTGGCCGCTAAAATTAGATTCGCAATAATACAATGCGAAAACAACTGTTGCGAATGAATACGTCATATATGCAATAGACATAGTAAAAGAATAAGTGGCAAATTTTTAGTAATGAAAAAAAGCGACACGAGTTTTATTAGTTAGAACTCTAATGAGTAAAACCAATGATGAGAATAGCATATATTCTTTTCCAAACCAAAACGCAACGTATGGAAATGATTCGTTGGATTAATGTTGGGATATCAACATCGATCAATTAATTATGATAGCAATGTTTTTATAGATATAAAATTGTAATTAACATTCCTGGTTTTGTATTTTCAATTTTCTCTTCATTCAATTGCTCACGAAGAAAAGATGTAACAACAGTACAGACACAAACAAGAAAAAAGAATCACACTGTACACAATGTAGAAATCCAGTAGTAGATTAAGTCTATTGATAAGTTGCATATAGACGAGATTATTTATGAGGATGTTTGTTTAAGATACTGATAAAATTTTGGGAACGCATGCGAACGTAAAGCCATCGAATATAATTCATCTTTTTCTAAATGTCCATTACCTAGACAGAAGAAAAACTGAACAAAATAGAATCAAAGAAAAACAATCGAAACAAACCATCTTCATCAAATAATGTAACCATTTTTTCAATCATTGCTCGGCGTTGTCGTTCACGTTTTAATTGTATTGTTTGCTGTTGTTCGTTAGGATTTTGAAAAGTAATTAACCATGGTTGTTCTTGTTGACGATTCGTATTTGTTTGATCATAAATCTTAATACCAGCACCATTCGAATAACTCGGGATATGAGAAAGGTGCGGTTGAATTGGTTTCGAGATACGTCGATGAACTTTGTAGTAGTGTTGAGGATACATAGAACGATCCGTTATTTTAACCATCGCCGTAGGTAAAGGTTTTTGAGTAGGAGATAAGTTTCCCGATTGATTAGAATCAACTAAAAAACAAAAGCAAAGAAATTTTATACAAGAAAATGTGATAGTTTTATATTTACAAGGTATTCTTAATGTTTGATACATAGGTAAAGCATTCGATTGCGATGTTAAAATTAGAAAAATAAATAAAATTAAACAAAATCGATTTGCGAAGATAATTTTAAACGTAATATCCTTATTATAATTAAAATGTTCATTTGAATGTAAGATTTGTCTATAATACTCATCATTATCAATAGAAATATTATCTTGACATTGATCGCTTTTCGTATAGTTCAATGATCGATTATTTTCATCATAAAACTTTTTTTGCATCATCATCATAATAATCATATACAATGGATATTATTTACATTGACATACATGTATTTCAATCGATAATAACAAGCTGAAAAAAAACGTACACAAGCAATTATGCATTGTATCTATCTGAAATACGAAAAAAAAGAAACTAATGTAATGTAATCATTAAAAAAAAATAAAGCTGAGACAAATTGAAGCATAATATGTATCTTTGATAGACAGCTGGTGTACAGACATATTTCTCACGTTAATCCTCGCCGGCAATATTTTTCTAATAAAATACGGTGTCCAATTGCATCAATTTTTTTGCCTATGAAATACTTTTCATAAGTAGTTCATAATCCTTGAATCTGTCAATTTCTACATGAAAGTTAAATTTATTAGTTCTTTTACCTGAGAGCTGTGCGTGTTCTTTTCTTCTGCTTCTGTTTCTATTACATGTATATGACTAAAAATGAAAATGTCACGTTCAATGAATAAATCGATCAACAAGCAAACGATTATCTTATTTGATGATCGAAATTTTCGTTTTTTCTCTTCGCTTTTACTTTTAATGATTATTGCATCATCATCATCGTATCAGAGTAGGAAAAGATAGATTTATATTCAATGATGATGATCATCATTATTGACATAGATCTATATATTATTGGATTTTGAATAGTTTTATAAATATCGAAGAGACACAGAATAATAACAACATGAATATGTCTTACCTATTCTATGACTGTGAAATGAAAAGACATATATACATAAGGAAGAATGAACAACAGAGAAAGCCTTTTGTTGTACAGTTGAAGGTGAATGTATGTATGATAATAGATAACGACATACACTCTCAACAAAAGAGTCAATTCTTTTCCTCGTTCTTCAGACAATATTGGAGATGATGATGGCGTTGAGCCGAGGTCATATCATAGTACTAATAGAAACTAATGGTTGACATTGATCATACATATGTATTACGCAAACGATCGAGAACAACGTTTAGTTTAGCAAAGATATTGACTCAGAATTCAAAATGTCAAAAAAAGAAAACGATAAATACTTAATAAGATAATCTAATAAACCGATTAAAAATTCCAAAAACAACAAAAAATAATCAGCGATAGATCGTACCTAGGGGAACCGCATAAATAGCTGTGATCATGTCCTAAACATTGTTATTCTAACCTACGTATAAATTCTATTTTAAATGAAAGAAAGTGATAGCAGCTGTCACCTTTTACCTCGTGTGTCTCGCCATACCGTATCGGTTATCATCTCTCTTCGTTTTCTCTTTTTCGTACGCCACACTGATCATCATCATGATCGAATATACGTGTCATTCTCGTGTAGACAAAATTACATCTGTATCAAAACGCTTTAGGTCTTCTCACGTTCAATGTATACATACATATAAATATCTACGATCAGTCCCTCCTATCATCCTTCACCATCATCATATAAAGATGATATGAACGATGTAACACGCTTGATAATGACATCTCATCATATCGATGATTCGAAAGAGATAGATTCTCTAACATCTTTACTCGCTAGATACTTACTACTTTACAATCCGATGGTCTCGAAAAGGAATGACCTTCGATATATCGTTACTTTTCTTCTTTATGAAGACTTACGACAAGAACAATATACTCTTGATCGATATCGTTACGGCCTTGACACCTACATTTCTATAATTAATGATGGAAAAAATGTCATCTTATTTGATAACACATAAGTGGACAAAAAAAATCTTTTCCTTGCTCGTGTTGTTATTATTTTACAGTATTTATCATAGAGTCAACTCAATTATGATTTGTCTGCAAACAGCGATAATTAGGAAAATGATGTATCATATCTCATCAAATGATTATAAAAAAATATACTTAACAGCTTACATGTTTATACAGGATTAATCTATAATCATCTGCATCGTTGTTGATTCGATGAGTAATGTTCTTCTTTCTTCTTTTTATTACTTTATCTAAATTTCCTTGCTTGTTGCTCTCTCTCTCTCTCTATCTTTTATCATATACTTCTTATTCGAGTTTCTCTCTCTCTCTTCTACTTTTTTTTCTGTCGTAGAATCAACGCTTGTCGATGTTGATGATGTATACACATACATCTACATGAATGTTATACAAGTACAAAAATTCGAGGGTCATCAAATGTTCATTCTTGTGTAAAAATTCAATTATTAAAAATACGTTGTATACTTCATGGCAGACCTCTAAGAGTAAAAAAGAAAATCTATTTACTGTACTATTTATAAATATATCTATATCTCGCCGTAGTTCGAATTACACTCACCCGTAGTAGTACGATATCAATCGATAGATTGTTTCATATCGCATTTTTGCCTACGATACTATCTATCTATCTATCTATCATTCTCTTTTCGTTTTACATACCGTCTTTAGTATAAGAATGTAATGCAAGTGAGAAAATTGATCGCTTTTTTCTCAATGCACCACAATTCATTCCTGTCTATTTACTTGATAATCGATTGTTCAAGGTTGAAAAGAAGACGTTATCTCGTCGTTCCTTTCGCTTCCGTATTGTATTGATGTATAGAACATGATGAGAAAAGTTGAATGATGTTCATTCATTGATATGAATAGCCTTATAAGCACTTAAAAAGTAACAAAATATGCTCCTAATTGTTCACTGCTCTGCGTATATATTATTATTATGATCATCAGCATGTAGCATTTTCAAGTATGAATTAGACATGCTCATGAACTGCCAATATTTTGTATAGTACTTAAGAAAGAAACGAACTCAATCTATTCTACTCACTTTTTTTTGTGTTCTTTGCAAAAAAGAAAGATACTTGAACAAAGACAGATGCTTACAATGTAAAGAGAAAAAGCATCCATCGCCTTTTCTTTTGGATAAAAAAGAGATGTTCAAATGCAATTCTATATCTTACAGTATTTAACTTATGCTATAGTGGGATTGAACCAGATAGGTCATTGGAGAAATGTGAAGTGATGATGGTTGTGTCAACAATACCATTAGTAACGCAGGAAAAGAGTAGGCTATTATTGTCAACACTCACACATATGCCAACATGGTGATATCAGACTACGTAAAAAGAAAATCTATCAATATCCAAACAAGTGAAGGAAGTGTTATGTTAGCAATACTGTGCGTAGATCGGTGTCATTATTGTCAATCGATCAAGGCTCAGTTAATATTGAATCGAACGGTTCGTTTTTCATATGACAAAAATTGATGGTTAAAAATAGGTCTATTCATTAGAAGCTCGAGTAAGCAATAGAAAGTCACTTCTATTATGTACAATAGTTGTCCGACAATTTGTCAGTTATGTATATATAATTCAATGAACTGAAACTTCTTTTTACAAAGGTGACCATTGTTACTATTAAAATTATTCAATCCTATGTTAGATCAATATTTGATTCATTTATTTCTAATCAAACCGCTACAGATAGGTGTTGTCATTTTTTTTTCGACCTTGAACAATATTCTTTGGTTGCACTTACTGTGGGTCAATGACGAGCATGTGCACTAATTAAGTTGGCAATAAGAAAAAAACATAAAGTTATAGAGAAGAATGCAGTTTTCGGTTCACATGCATCACTAATAAATGATGTCAATCAATTATAGAAAATTGATTGAGCTACTTTGCTTTTTTTTCAATGAGAAAATATGGCATTTGTTGTGTATCTATATAAAGAAACCATTAGAAATCGTTTGACGTTGATGAACGAATATGTTATCGGTTAATTGACCGTGAACACTCGACTTCATTCATCTTGCATATATTACTGAACAACGTCTGAAGAGTTCTAGCTTATATGGGCAAAAAGAAGAAAAAAAAAGAACATTAAACGAAGACAAGACAAACAAACAAACAAATAGACATGAACAAGTATCAAAACTTAAAAAAAAGAAACCAAAAGAATGAGACTTATTGTCCACCAGCAGACTGACCACCACCAGCAGGATCGTTTGTAAACACATTTTGAAGAACCACGATAACGACAACGGGTAACAAATATTTCCACTGAAACAAAAAGAAATGGGAGTGTGATATTCCTTGTTGAAATTAAATTGAAGATCGAAAAATAGCTAACTTTTAAAATTCAATACAAAGTGACTAGAATCCGAATTTCCAGCAGCATCGAAACTATTTTTTGAGAACTCTGAAAATTGATGATCGGGGGGCTGGCTTAGTATTAGTATTAAAGAGATTTATTTTAGCCCCCCCCCCCTCAGAATCGACTTGCCACTTTAGAGTATAGGTTTGGGCTGAAACTTTCACGAATGAATGAGCCTAGTGAGAAACGCTTGTGGTAAAAGTTTCAGCCTTGTATACCTTACTAAACTAGCCTTATGACTTGTTTTATAGCTCCACGAGAATTGNAAAAAACGCACTAAATCGGACTTTTCTCAGTCCAGGAATCCAATATCGAAAATCCGTCTGATAAAAAGTTAGCTATAATTGAAACCTTTAAAATAAAAAAAATATCAGGGAACGCTAAAGCCAAACGAAAGTTATAGCAATTTTTCTACTTGAGACCCATGCTTTCGGAATTTTTAGAAAGGTGTGTGGGAGTAAGGGAAATGAACGAGCATTTCTTCAATAAATCTGTCAAAGCTTGACCTTTTTTCAAAAAATTATATATGTACATATTCTGAAAGAGGAGATCACGGGAATCTTTCTATGATAAAAACTCGATTTCGGTTTTTTTCGAAAAATCGGCTTTTCTGAGGGAGGGGCCCCTTAAGCAATAATAAGAAGCCCATTTATTATCCTGTTAGTCATAGTCGCTATTACCTCTAAATTTTGATGAGACAGCTTATTCCATTCCGGAAATGTTAGATAATTTCCGTTAGCGTCATATACTGATCTCATCACACATTCCAGAATTGCCCAATGAGCTTCATTATGAATCACTGCTGATATTTTTACTCTTTAAAGGAATAGGCGAAGCTACGGTATCCGTTTTGTTTTTCAAAAAAAATCATCTTGGCATATCTCCGATTCTACACAGTTTGATCTTTTAAGAGCAACTTCAGAGCACTATTTCTACTAACATATTTGAGAATAAATGGTCGATTATCATTGTCTTGTGCATTCAATTTAGCTTCTTGTTGCTTTTTAAGTTTATCCAAAAATTGTTGTATTTCAGGTCTAAAAGCAAAAATATATCATAAACTCGATTTTTCCTTATCGTTTTATTCTATTTACTGTGGCCCAACTTCATTTAATTGTAAACGCATTGAAACTTTATAAGTAGATTCTTGTTTTTCGTCAAGACCTTTTATATTCGATGGATTACATGTTGAATTTCCAGTTGTAAGTTGTACAGCAGGAATATAACCATTTTCACTAACGAATAAAGTCACATTATAGTGAAAATGTGTTTGTAAAACAAGGCACTAAAACAAAAGAGCATTGATATTTAAACGAATAAAATCTTTAAAAAAATTCTACCATTGGTACTGATGTCATAACATGATCTTGTACAGTACCACGTTTAAAATGAACTTTCAATGTATAATATTGATTATTAATACTTAATCGTTCGTATTGCGACGAGGAAATAGTACGCGTTGGTGTTAGATCAGCATTCGATTGACGTGAAAGACGAATATTTAATTTTGAAAATGATAAAAATTTTCCTTCTAAATAAATAATTATTTTGTTTGCTGATTGAAAATTGTTTTTTTTTCTTACCAATATTGTCTTCAAAATTAAGTGATACCAAATCATCGTTTGTATCAGCAAATGCCTTTAATAAAAGAACATAAAAATTTTGTTATTTAAATAAAACAAAAAATCATACCAAAACAATGCTTAATTGTAAAAATAAAATCAGAGATCTGACAATTATATTTTTGTGTTCAAGCATCATGAAATGATTAGAAAACAATAAATACATGCAACATTTTTTCTTTTCGTACCACTTCTAGCGACTCATGTAATTTTATTCGAGAGTACATCTACCAATCAATAAGATGAAACATTTTATTTTATTCTCGTCTTTTTATTTTGGTTGTAACAAAAATCCCATAATGTAACGTTCTAGCTATTCTCACAGCCTTACATTACGAAATAAATTAAGATCTAAAAAGGGGGACATAACAATATACAACCACGTTGTTGTTTTAGATTAGATGCGTTCCGAGAATATCCCCAGAAACTCGATTACGTGTTAGGGAACCAAACCTTGCAGATATAGAGATATACAGCTTGTAGGAGGTCTAGGAGGTCTAGGGAATACAGGAGTTATAGGGGATATCGGAGATTGATAAACAACGAGCAAGGCTCAAAAAATGAATATTAATAAGCAACGAGCAAGATTCAACAAATAAATATTGATATCAGTAATATCTGTGAACGACAATTTTATTTTAGTTGAGTTATAAATAAAAATAAGAGATGAAAGAGAAAAAAATATCTCCTATAACCTCTATAACTCCTGTATCCCCTATACGCTGTATATCTCTATATCTGTTATATCTGCTAGGTTTGATTCCCTGGCACTTAATCGAGTTTTCGTGGATATTCTCCGAACACATCATATGCTTCTTTTTCGCCGATTACTGCAGAGATACTCATCAGAAATTGTTTAACGAGATCAGAAGTTTCCATAGAATAAAACGTGTCCAATGTTAGAATTACGATGACAAAAAATTGTTCGCATTAATCTTTTTTCTATCTTTGAAATAAAACTGCTAAACTATCGGTGGTGTCATAAAAAATTGGCATTATTTTCAATACTTTGCTTCTTTTAGAAGCTAAGGTGCAGCTAAAGCAGAATTGGAGTGAATTTTGTTTCTCGCTTATTTATATATGGTTGGATAGAGCTTGAAAAGCTGATCAAGAATATATACTTTTTATTTCGATTTAGTTACTGCCTGGCTGAGAAAATCTTAAGAAATGAGAACACCTGAGAAAAAACATATTTTTATGTTAAATTTTGTTTTTCTTACAAAAATTGCCAAATTTTTATTTCAGCTCTTTTCTGAGTATTGCCAAAGTACTATATTCTGAATCAGCATGAAAAACTGAATAGGAAAATGTTATATGATTAGACTTAGATATAATAAAGAAAACAATTTCTTATCTCATATAAATAGCTCCATCAGACGAAAAGTATGTTTCAGTGAGCGTTCTTGTAAAGCTATCTAGTTTTTTGTAAGAAGTGATAGAAATACTTATCTTATCTTATTAGAATCGCCAAATCATGGGCTACAAAAGTTATTATTTTGTTTTTTCAAATTTTTATTTTTTTGTTGAGAAATTTGAATTTTTTCGCTGTTGGGTGATGGTATGTAGCAAAAAGACGAAAAATGTGCATGTATTGGCCAGTTTTCATAACAATAACTAAGACAAAAAGCAAAACCAATAGCATATTCGAAGTCAGCGTCAAAATTTACATCGACTCATTTATATTTAACTGAATTTTATTTTCTGAGAAAAATTCATCTGTGGGGGACTAGGAGAAAATTTTTTGGAAATTATACCTGAGGGGGATCACAGGCTTTTTTCCGCCAGAAATATTTTTGTACCAAACACATATGAGTCGATGTAGATTTTAACGCTGACTTCGAATATGCTATTGGTTTTGCCTTTTGCCTTAGTTCTTGTTATGAAAACTGGCCAATAAATGCACATTTTTCGTCTTTTTACTACATACTATCACCCAACAGCGAAAAAATTCAAATTTCTCAACAAAAAAATAAAAATTTGAAAAAACAAAATAATAACTTTTGTAGCCCATGGTTTGGCAACTCTAATGAGATGAGACAATTGTTTCTATCACTTATTAGAAAAAACTAGATAGATTTACAAGAATGCCCATTGACACGTATTTTTCGTGTTATGGAGCTATTTATATGATAAGTTTTTTTTTCTTTTTTAGGTCTACATCTGACCAAATAACATTTTCCTACTCAGGTTTTCATGCTGATTCAGAATGTAGTACTTTAAAAATGCTCAGAAAATAACTGAAAAGAAATTTGGTAGTTTTTGTAAACAATTTAAATTTAACATAAAAACAGCATTTTTTTCAGTCGTTCTTGTTTTTGAAGATTTTCTCAGCCAAAAAAAGATGAAATCGAAATAAAAAGTACATATTCTTGATCAGCTTTTCAAGCTCTATCAAACCCTATATAAATAAACGAGAAACAAAATTCACTCCAATTCTGCTTTAGCGGCACCTTACTAAAAGCCCGTTGAACAATATTTTTCGAAACAAAAATGATTTACTCATCTCAACCGATATACTAGTGTATATAAAAATAATTTTATTTAGATTAGATCCACTGCATCGATGAAACAGAAGCATTGGTAATATTTGCTTATGAAAGCATTATTGTGGAAAAAAACATGAAGAAATGTGAAATTTTCTTTGTGTGACTTTTATTGTTTTCTCTAATTTTTTAAGTTACAACGACACATTTCAGGTTTATCACAACATTTAGTAAACAGAAGCTATCTGAGATCGAGAAAAGCTACAAAAATAAAAAGCAACGTTTAACCTAGAAAATGTGGAAGAAGTTTCTTGAGTTGAACTTTTTTTATGACTTATTGTCAAACAAAGATTATTCGCAATATAGATCGAGTATTTTACTAGTATATAGACATATTTCACCCTCACTCGATGTTGTGTTTGAATTATGTTACAAAGTTTATTGAGCATTTTTTAAATGAAAAATTACGATGAATTTGTTATGTGCTTGATTATGGAGATAAGTCAAGGGTTGCAGTATATTTTTGTTTGGACACGATGAAGATACTGAAATTACTATACATTGATTTAAGTTCTGCAGAAAAGAGATAAGATTCAACTAAATCGACCAGATAGGTATCAATTGATCGTAAGCTATGCAAACTGTCTGACTAAAACCAAATATATCTTTTTCATTCGTATTTTGCTATCATACTTCTGTTTACAGATGAGTATCATTTATTAATTGAACAACAATTAAATGATCATAATTTATCATCGTTGTCGATCGAAAAAATCCGTCTGAGACAATGCTCTATTGTAGTTTCATCCTCAACTAAATTGTGTTTAAATAGGGATTAAAGTAATCTAAAAAAATAAGCTTCTTTAAAAAAAAAGAATCCACTAATCAACTCATAGTTATATCTTAATATTCTTCTACCAAAAAAAGGAAGCAGATCAATATGGGTTTTCAATAGTGAGTTTAGCATCCTTTGTAAAATGGTGCAACGAAGTCAAACGTAAATTCATACGAATGTTACTAAAAGCAACAGAAAAAATGGTAGTGAATGAATTTCGAGTATGAAATAGCAGAAAAGCCTCTATCATTCTGTTATTGAAATGAGATCAGAAAAGTTTCAGAAAAACAACGATCAGTTAATATATCATTTGCTGTATATTTAAAAATCCATCATCATCAAATAAAAACAAAATTCAAATAAAGTCGTGTCAAACATCATAAAGAAATGCGGTTTCTAATACATAAATATAAATTTGCCCACAGTTGACAGTAAACATAAAAACAAAAAACAAGAACGACGTTTCGATATTTTAGGGCCGCCTTTCGCTTACAAGCAGTATCACCCTTAAAATAGCTTTTATTTTCACCTGTATTTTTTTTATAAACAACGATAAATCATATATTACAATACAGAAAATATGTATCTTTGGTAAACCCTCGTTTTATTTCATGTCTATAAACCGATTGGTCACATGAATCTGATTAGGTTATACCGAAAATGCATCGTCTTTCAATACTTTATCAAAGGGTAGCAATATTTTTGATCCCCAAAAAAATGACTATTGATCACCAAAATGTGGTAGTTGCGAAATGATCACCACAAAAATATATTCGATCACCGCATTTATTATCAATACAATAAAAGATAGAATAATAAATAACCACACTGGTTACACAAAATACACAGTAAACAATAGAAACAGAAAATATGTTCTACCACAATCATGGTAACCATGCGGTTCGAACTTTTTTTGTACTTGACATTTTTAGTTTTCTGCATTGTTAGATAGAACATTTTGTGTAGCTATTCTCAGTTAATGAGATCATTTTGATCCAATTATGATTATTGTTTAATTATGTCCTATCAATGTGTTGTCTTTTGAGATAAACACGTTATCTACCACAACTCTACCATTCATTCCACAAAAAGCAAATTGGTGATCAAATCTTTTTTTTTTTGTGATCATTTCACAATAAAATAGATTGGGGATCATTTGTATCTCTTTTTTGTGATCATTTCGCAACTAAAACATTTTGGTGATCAATAGTCATTTTTTCGAGGATCAAAAATATTGCTACCCTTTATCAAACATCGCATGTGACATATAAAAATTATTTTTGTTCTTACATTTCTTTATTAAATTTAGTGAAATCATAACCGAAACTTAAATGATGACAATGCAGTAAAATAGAAAAAGAAACGAGACAACTACCAATCACACACAATTAAGGATGGAAAAAGAAATTAAGTAAAACTAAGCAAAACTAATTTTCACCAAATATAATAATATTTTTTGCGTGTTACAAATGATATAGCAATGGAATAGTTGGCTTTTGCTAGATATTTCTGATTCTTTAATAGCCATCTGATGTTTAGTTTGATGCACCACCAAGATTTTGACCTGAAAAAGATGAAAACAATTTAAATTATTAGTCACTATCACATGACCACAATCATCAGCAAAACTACTTACTAAGAAAGTTACGGAATTCATTGATATCGACACGTCCATCACCGTTTGCATCAGCTTGTTGGAAGGCACCACCAGCACCACCAGCTCCACCTGATGAGAAGCTTGATGATTCAAATGATGATCCACTAGCACCACCGCCACCAGCAGCGAAACCGCCTTCGAATCCAGCACTACCGCTTGATGATTCAAATGATGATCCACCGAATCCACCACCACTGCTTGATGATTCGAATGATGATCCACCACCACCACCAGCAGCAAAACCGCCTTCGAATCCAGCACCGCCGCCTGATGAAAAGCTTGATGATTCAAATGATGATCCACCGAAGCTGGCTTCCGAACCTCCGGCACTTCCAGATGAGAATTCAGCGCCACCAGCACTGAAACCAGCACCAGCACTGAAACCAGCACCAGCACCAGCACCAGCACCAGCGCCAGCACCAGCTGGGGCAGACTATAAAAATAAATATTACGACGATGAAGAAACTCAAAACAAAAAACACCTATCATGATAATGAACTTACGATATCTTCGACAACACCGGCTGAACGAGCTCGTTGAACAAGTGTGCTTGCATCAAGAAGTTGAGCACCATATTGTTGAAGATAAGATTGTGGATTAGCTTGTGTAACACCAAGACGTTGGAATTGACGAACAACACGAACTTGAGCTGCTTCGTATTGAATGATAACGTTGCGTGGTGCTGGGTATTTAGCACCGCCTGTAGCACGTTGAACAATGGTACGTCGTTTACCTTGAGCGCCATATGGAACCCAACGTTCGATGATGATGTCACCTAAAAGTAATTGTATGGTATATCAATATATACATATGATTGTAGAGAAAAGTATATGGACGCAAGTACTAACGTGGTTTGGGTGGGAGAGGTGCAAGACGTTCGATGATGACCGATCGTGGTGGAACTGGTAAGGCACCTAAACGACGGATGACTGTTTGAGAACCAGTTGATGCTGGTGGCTGGGGTGGTCTTTCACGAAGAATAAGAGGTGGTGGTGTTGGAAGAGATGGAGCTTGTTGACGAATACGAAGCGGTGGTGGTGGAGGTGGTTGAGGTGGTCGTACTTCTTTGATGATGAGTGGCTAGAAGTAAGAAGAAAAGAAAAAGTCAGATTTATGATTCAGATGATGATAATGAAGCATGATAGGAAGATCACTTACGCCTGGTGGTGGTATTGGGGGTGGTTGAAGGAATCGAACTTTGATGTTTTGTGTGTATGTTTGTACACCACCAGCAGCTGGACGACGGATGATTTGTGGGTTAGGATCTTTGAAGAGTCCTTGAGCATCAGTAGCATATTGGGTTACAGCAACGCCTGATGATCCTGATGATCCTGATGATCCGTAAGCGGCTCCAGCTTCACCAGAGAATCCAGCACTGCTTGAAGATGATTCGTAGCTACTTGCACCACCAGCGGCACCATAACCACCACCACCAGATGATGATGATTCAAATGATGATGATTCGAAGCTTGAACCTCCAGCACCAAAACCTGCACCTGCACCTGCACCAGCACCGAAACTATCACCACCACTAGCACCAAATGAGCCTGATGATTCGTATGATGAACTACCACCTGCACCGAAACCACCACCACCACCAGCACCAAATGAGGCTGATGATTCGTATGACGAACCAGCACCTCCACTTGCACCGCCGCCACCACCGAGACTTTGACCTATCAATAGGAGTAATTATCATTAGCAAATACACAAATAATAATTCAATAAATATATCTTACTGATAAAGTTACGGAATTCATTGATATCGACGCGTCCATCACCGTTTGCATCAGCTTGTTGGAATGCGCTATCAGCACCGCCTCCAGATGAAGAAGACGATTGAAATGAATAACCAGCCATTGTTATTGTTGTACTGTGAGTGAGAGTAGATTGCTTACAGGTGAAAGTAAGAAGTGAAGAAAATATGGCAAAGGATCAGTGTTTATATAGTCTTAGTCGATCATGCATGGATAGAGATGAAACAAGTGGGAATAGAGAAATGGTGGTGTACAGTAATGCAAGCGCCTTTCAAGGTTGCTCGTCATGGTCGTTTTGATACATGAAACAATGATTCTTAAGTAGGCAAAAGGGGTAATCGTTTGCTATTGAGAGATGGGTTAGATAAAAAAAGAGAAAATCGAGCCATATTCTATGACTACTCAATACGAACCTTCGACTTCTATTATCAATATGAAAATATGTCACTGTTTGAGTAACGACGATCATTATATTGACAGCAAGCAAACGTTTGTTTAAATCATAATACATTCAAGGCAACAAACACGAATAGCGTATTCTGTAATAATACACTTTTTGTTTTCATAAAACTATCCTCCAATAAAATATTTGCATGCCTTCTGCTTTGAATATAGATATGAACTATATCAGATAAATATGTGTAAGATTGAGATCGAATTCTATCTTTCAAAGATGCATATCACACTGGGTGTGGTTCTATAAAAGACTTGAAAACCAAAGTAGAATTTTTTGCCGTCGTCATTCACTAACAGTGCATCTCGTATAGAATATCACGGCAAAAATAATAAAGAAAACTAGAAAGAAATAAAATTCTCAGATTTTCAGGGTCTGTTTTCGACAGATATTTCATATTCAATGTGGCTTCATTGACTAATTGGTTAAATATATGAGCAGCGTGTTGATATTTGTTATACTTAAATTAGATGTATTCACTTTAATAATATTGGAACCGACTGTTGATTCTATTTTGTATTTTCGGCTAAAGTTTGAGCTCAATCAGCTTCAGGATTATTGAGTGATGACGTTAAAATAGTCTGGAACGATTATTGAAAGCATTCAATTTTTTTCTTGCTTATGTTCAGAAATATTTTCATATCTAAAAAATGAAGGAATAACAAAATGAAGTTTAGAATGTTAACTTAAGATTGATGCTGAAAGATCGATAGAAGAGGTTCAAACAGAGTTCTTGTTATTCGTTTAGTGAGGATATTTGTCAAGTAACTGTATTTGACTTTTAAAAAATATCAATTGATAAATTTCGCACTTATATTTCGCATATTTCAATCAACGTCACTGTGAATGCAATCCAAACTAATAAAATGTTTCAAACGACCAGAAAAAAAGCCAATCGACTTCTACATGATTCAAACTCTATGGTCGAAATTATTGATCCTCAGCAAACACATACAGTATGTAAAAGAATTATTCGGACACGCTACTGTACGAATTTAGTTGAGTGAATTTCTGAATGAAGGAAATAAATTTTTTAAACTCTGATTACATCATTCAATAGGTCATCATCTCTACTTTCTATTGCATAGAAAATCATTTTTCATAATGTAGTTTTGATAAGGTTTTCGAAGAATCAGTCGATTTTACAAGCAAAAAAATTATTCAAACACTTGTATTTTTTTCCTTATCACAGTTCTATTTTAAATCGAAATATTTTGAATTACATATCATCTGATAGAGAAAACATTTCTCTACACGCCAGTATGTATAAAAATTGAAGAAGATGCTAAGCTCATGCCGAAAGGTTCTCCATATCGGAAGCACCGTAGGTTTTGCAGAAAACTTTCCTTTTTAGCTTCACAAAAATGAAAACTCAACTTAAAATATACCATCTGAAAGGGAAAACAAAGCTGAACCCAATTATGCATTTTGTTTTTCAAAGTTTTGAAATATTAAATGTAATAATCATTTAGCATGATTAATATTTTCTTCAGCACGTGTAATATTCTCAATTTTTAGACAACTAAATTGAACTACAAAAGTCTTTAAGTAACTCAAGCTTGTAGAGAATTTAATTCTCTACAAGATGATGTACTTGAGTGCACGATAGCTATTTTTCTTAGACACGATGTGCACCTATCCATAGACATATAATGTATTGAGAAGAAAAGAGAAAAAGCGTTTCTTCCTTTCTGTTGCTTTCTCTATATAGTACATACGATGATAGCGCAGGATGAAACTCAGCAAAATTCAACGTGAATAGATAGGTGCACATCATGTCTAAGGAAAATAGCTATCGGGCGTACAAGCATATCATCTTGTAGAGAATTTAATTCTCTACAGGCTTGAATCATTCAAATACTTTTGTAGTTCAATTTAGTTGTCTAAAAATTGAGAATACTAGAGGTGCTGAAGAAAATATTAATCATAATAAGTGTTTATTACGTTTAATATTTCAAAATTTTGAAAAATAAAAAACATTTGGAATCAGTGCTTTTTTCTCTTTCAGATGATATGTTTTGAGTTGGGTTTTCATTTTTGTGAAGCCAAAATACGACGGTTTTTTGTAAAGCCTATGGTGCTTCCGGCATGATCTTAACATCTTTTAAAATTTTTATACATACCAGCGTCTAGAGAAATGTTTGTTCTATCAGATGATATGTAATTTGAAATGTTTCAATGTAAAACAGAACGGTGATAAAAGACAAAAAAATACAAGTGTCCGAATGATGTTTTTGTTGGAAAAATCGAGTGCTTCTTGAAAAACCTTCTGAAAAGTTATGAAAACTACATTATGGGAAAATGATTTTCTATGCAATAGAAAGTAGAGATGGTGACCTATCGGACGATGTAATCAGAGTTTAAAAAATATATTTCCTTCATTCAGAAATTCACTCAACTAAATTCGTACAGTAGCGTGTCCGAATAATTTTTTTACATACTGTATGTGGTTGCCATTGAGGTACTTTAACGATGCATCAAATTTGCTTGGATATCAATTGGTAGCCAGATGACACATAATAATTTTGTAAATATTAAGAAATTCATTTTTAGTTCGTAATGAAACATACATTGCAAAGAAAAACTCGGTTTTTATCAGATTGAAATAAAACAGAACACAACAAAATGAAAATTCCATTCTCACTTTGGAATCCACATTCAACAAAAAATCCAAAATAATGAATAACTCAACAAAGATCCAGCATCATTAACGTTAATATGCTCGAAAATGTTTTTGTTAAGTATATCGTCAAATGAGATGTCATCTTCAACTCGATCCAAATCAATCTATGCCGATTTCATCGCTATATTGTCATCTACAATGATTCAGAATTCTTTTTCATATAATGTCAAGTTCAACCAAAATTTTTAAAAACAAATCCAGAAGTTTCAAAATTATGGATAAGAATAGAAGAGGGCATTAAAATATTATTAATTATTAATTTAATGGACAGCTTTTGTTCAAGTGCATCGTGTCGTAGTGAACTTACATGGAGAGAAAAAAAGGACATTTTATTGTATTTTATTTGAGCAATACTTTTATCGCTGTTTATTAGTCTTCTAATTAAATATGCTTCATATATCATATTAACTTTGAAGTATCAGCTTATTGTATTGCAATGTTTCTTTTTGGCTTAGTTCTACAATTTAATGGAGTGAAATTGTAGATAATGCGATACTCTATGATAAAATAAAAGGTATCTTTCATTCATATTTAATGGTTCTTGAATTTATAAATATCATTTAATTCGTTTAAAAAAACAAATAACGTTCATCGACATCGAAAGTCGATTCGCTGGGCCCTAGGCTGGCAGTGTTGAGGAGAAGAATATGCATGGGCAGGACAGATAATCGGCTGTTTGTGCCAGCAGCTGGTGGTGATATTTTCAAACAGACCTGTAAAGGGGGCGGGAATAAGTGAAACCGAAATAAGAATTAGACGAGAATTAAAGGTTTCAAATAAAAGCACTAAAAGTGAAGACGAAACACGGACAGAATGGAGCTCAAAGACCCTTAGGGCGGCGGAGAGGTTGAGTCTTACCTAGCCACAAAAATACAGGGTTCAGAAAGTTCGTGATGCTAAGCTCAAAGTTCCATAGGGGTATCAGCTCGCCATGTAAACAAATTTAGGGTTAAAATCAGATTAAAATCAATTGAAAAATGATTGAAAATCGATTATAATCGAAAATAATAGGAATAATCGATGAAAATTTTGTTTTTTGGATTATTTTTGATTATAATCGATTAAAGGTGTATGATTATAATCGATTTTAATCTGATTTCTACCCTAAATTTTTTTACATGGGTCGCCCCCTTCACTGACCACATATCCAGAGCGGACTGTTTCCCATGACCATGCCATGAGAATTGATCATTTGTGCCATAAAAATGGTCATTTGTAATGAAAAATCACTTATTGAATAATGTCAGTCATATCAACAATGATAAAATAAACATTAATATTCGTTTTTATCTTTATCACAATGTATTCCCAGTTCAAATTAGATCCATCAACTTGATTTCCATTCTAAGAATTAGTTTTAATCAATTTTCTTCAATAGGAAATCCTACTGAAAAATGAAGACATGCAAAATTTTCTTTTTCTTTCTTTCTTTCTTTCTTTCTTTCTAGATTTGATATTTGGCAATTGATTAATAAATATTCGAAAAACTTGAATGAATTCAATTCTTTGACCATATTCAATTATTTAACTATAGATTACAAAATCATTAGTTTTGTGTGAACAAATTCTTTGTTCAATGAATATATGTAGATATATTGGCTCTTTCAGCTCACATCTTCGCAAATTTAATTAGTTAAATAATTAAAACGTAATTAACGAAAAATTGTCTAATCTTATAACGGAAAAGTTCAAAAATTTCGGGTGTGGGTGGGGTGTGTGTGTGTGTGAGAGAAGATGGGGATTATTCACAACTATGTCTTATCGATATATGATAATTCATCTAAGCTTAAAAAAGAAGGTTCGTGGGATTCAGAAGCAGCTTTTGTCAAAATTCTTCCTTGAAGAACATTTTCTTTTCAAGACATTTCAAGGAATCTCCCATGTAATTAATTCATAGAAAGTTACTTTAGAAAGATCAATGTCATCTTTGATTTTTCTTATGTATCAGTATTTATTCAATAGTACT